TTATTGTAGTTTAACGTCCTTTCTCAGCCCAAAGGGCTATATAAGACGTGCAGGCTTAAGGCCTGCAAGTAACTACGTAGGCTAGAATTTAATCTAGGTACAAATTGAGTAGGTACAATGTAGGGGGTTATCTAAATGAAGGTGAGGCTCGTAGCCTAGTAGTTTTTTAGTGAGTAACTCTCTCAGATCTTTCACTTTAAATGAGTCTTCCTCTCAAGTTTTAACGAGTAACTCTCTCAGTCGAATAGGTAGTTTAATGAGTAACTCTCTCATGTGGGTGGACCATAAATATGGTTGTGAGGGGAGAAGGATTCGAACCTTCGATCTTTGCTGACGTAGGTTAGCTGCTTAGATTACTAGGTTTCTAGCAATCTCTAAGGCCTCCTTAATAGAGGTTGCCTTTGGTGTTTTCCCTACTGTAGGGTATCTTGGCACTGCTCCAATAAATGGAGAAAAATTACTCCTTGTCCTAGTATGGGTAGGCCTACGCGGTTCTTCTAGTTGCCTGTTAGGGCAAGGCGTAGAGGCCTCCTTAGCCATCTCAATTTCTGGATTATTATCTATTAGTCGTTTGCTTGTGCCTCTAAGGTCCTTTAACGCTAGTCTTTTCTTGTTATTTTTATTGTTTTAATATGTCTATGTTTCTTGCTAAATTTAAGCTTTAATAAGCTCCTGCGTTCCTATTAGCCCCTCTAGTCTTGGCATTAGAGCCTAAGCTCTGTGAGAAAATTCTCACAGGCGTGAGAAAACGAAGGAAGGCCTCCTTCTTCTCCCTACTGCGCGCTAGCGCCTTAGCTGCAGGTGTTGAAAGTGCTGTTAGTCGATTCCTCGTGGTCGGTTCTCCTAGATAGCGTGCTTTCCTAGCGGTTTCCAGAAAACTCGAAGTTGGTGTTTTGGCTCGTGTCGCACGTGACATTATTACTTCAAAATCCCCTTGCACAATACAAAACCCGCCACACATATCCAACTGAATCCTTCAAAATCCTTTGCCTCCATCCCCATCGCCATCATGCGCCACACATCTATATTCCCCACCTCTCCACACCCATACACCCACGTGCAACGCCTCCCTCCCCCTTCTCCACACCCTTGCCCCCCAAGCCCTCGCCAAGCCCCACGCTCCCACCCTTAAGTGGAGCCCCCTCAAAAAAAAACAGTCAAAAGCCGTCCAGCGGCAAAGATGCAGACGCGCTCTGGCGCGCCCCCCTCTAACCCCGGGCCTCGTGGGAAGTAATGGCCTGAGGAAATCCATAGCGCGGACTAGAATTACGCCGATTAGTGGGGGCCGTTAGACTGCTTTGGGTATGCCGATGCCATGGACAAGGGAATTTTGCGCAAAGATGTGCTGGGAGATGTCTGTTGGAACCGTGTTTTCTTTCTTCTAGGTGTTTTTTTTTGGGGGAAGGGGGGGGGGAGGTATCACGAGGTATGTATTGATAGAGTTTGATAAGCGTGAAGTTCCTTACTGTAATCCTCCCCCTATGGCAAGTGTCAATGAACAGTTTGAGAAAGTAAAGGCGGAGTAAATGAACCTAGTGAAGGTGTTTTTTCTGAGTGTTGGGTATAGTATATTGTGTGTGTGTGTATTATAATTACATAGCTGTTATGGTAAGCAAAACCTTACGTACGGTAAGATAAGTATCGGTCACGTGCCGACGCTTAGCCCGCACGCCCATTTCATCCATCTTGAGTATTTCGTTTTATCGTTTTTCTTCGCGCATCCGCCGCACCAACACCCCAACTACAGGCGATAAAGGGGAAAAAAATCGGTGGCTGCATTTGGGACAAGAAGCGTTTCAGTAAATACGCCACGTGGTTTTATTTGTTTATCGTCGACTTCTTCTTCAGGAAGGTCGCTGCGGAAACACGTGCGCTGTGTAAGCGCCGCAGCGGCCGCGCCAATGCACATGCGGGGTATGAAACATGGGCGCCTTGGGCAATTGGGCCAGAGCTTGACTTGAACTGCTTACTCTCCGTCTTTTAGCCTTGATTGGCATGTTCGGGATACTTGGCGGTGGCTTTTTGCACATGGTGGAGGGGGAACTGCTGATTAGTATACATGGTAAGTACGGCAGGCGATATGGTTTGGCTAGATACCAGGAAGAGTGCCGAGACATTCTCACTGTCAGGAGTGTTTCATACATGATATGAATCTTGTTCGTGAGCTCTTTTGGAATAGTGTTGGACCTGTGCACCTATATATATTATCCTGTGCCCACTGTCAGTACAATGCTGATTACCCGTACCTTTTTTTTGGTTGCAGTAGCCGAGGGTCATAGAGCTGAGCCTCTGGCAAATACTATTGTCATGAACCAGGTGACGTCGATAATCGATCGGAATATTGACGGACTTCAGTAGCTGTCAAGTGATCCACATTTCTTGGAGAATGTTAAACCAGGGACCTCGTCGCGAACCATATCGCTTCAATACAGTCAGGATAGTGTTCGATGTAGACTCCTATCATATGATTCACCACTGTTCATAGCAGCTATATCGGTTGTCTTGCTTTCTTTAAACCACTCGGCACAAATTCTTCGTAATTCTTCTCCGTAAATAGGACGTCAATCAACTCTTCTTTCTGTTCAGCAGATAGGCAATGCAAGCATCATGTAAGCCGCTTCACGGGATATCATATGTCACCAAAACGCAAATGATGTATGATAGGTATGTTGTTGATTGCCATTGTCAGGCCTGCGCGCCGATATATACTATTCTATGCCTGGTAATTAGCAGAAAGCTGATGGCTCGTACCTTTTTTGGTTACGGTAGCCTAGTGGCATAGGGCTGGGTTTCTGACAGCTGTCTACTTATCCCGGTCGTTATACCCCTATATACATTGCATCACATGAAAGTCATGTGACACTATACCAAGCCCTATTCGAAATCAGACGGGTTAATTAAGGTTCAAGTGTTTTACGGAGGAGCTCATATTTGTGTATCCCAATTTATCATGCGCGTGTTCAGATTCTTATCACTGTCTACTAGAACAACGACAACATTATATAATCTTACATATATGTGCTACTGGTCTTTAAGAGAGTGTGACAGCGTACAAACTTTTGAAATGAAAAGCTATCTTTGTTGCCTTGGGGCGTTGTTCTCATACAGACGTGTGCGGCTGGGTGGGACACTAAATACGGGCGCTTTCGCAAGGTCCTCACGAAGCAACTGGCTAGTCTGACTGCGCCCCCAGTAGTACTACGGAATACATTCGTTGCGACACCAGTAAATCGACACACGTACTAGCATCTATCCATGGCGTGAAAATCTTCTAGAACGTTGTGCTGATCAAGAATACGAGTCTTGTGCGCAATACCCTAAGATCTTGTCTGGCAATGTGAGCGATTTATTCTCTACCCTACCTGGTTCCGCTATCCTGGTAACAGGAACGATAGTCTCAACAGACTCACGCTAAGACTTCACAGTTGGAAATCCCACATGCTACTTCCAACAGCAAGTCGAGTAACTCGAGTTGATAATTCCAATCAAGCCATTGTATCTACTGCATTATACATATTTCCAGTAAACTATGCAGTGGATATTCCACACTGATGAGAAATTTCTTCACATGCTGTAAGATACCCAAACCTCGCGCCAAGAAAACCAAGATGAACAACGCCGTTCGTGGCACCTGTTTGCTGGTCAAATTGCTTGGAATGGGTATCAAATCACGCACATGATCCCAGTTCCAAAAGTCTTGTGATTACGTCTTGAATCCACCATGACCACGCTACATTGCGCAATCGCCGACTATACTTGTGTCCAAGCGCTTGCTGCATGATAAATAAGGCCGAAATGCACGAATACACTGAGGTTCCACGTCATTGCTAAGCTCTACTTATCTTTGAAATTGGCTTCTAGGCTATATCAAGTTAACATACAGCTACTTAACATAAAGGTTGATTAGAGATAAAGCTAAGATACGAGTAGTATAAGACATCAAACCTTTCAAGCTTAGCTAAATGGGTATTTCTTAGCGATATTCGCCAAGTATCCCCAGGGCCAACCAGGCTATAATCTCACGTCATTCACACTAGAATCGTAAACTAGTCACCTTATTTACATACAGGAATGGTACTTGGCGTCAAGAAATGTTGAATTGCGGAGCTGTGGACTTCTGGGCTTTAATTCTGTTCAAGCCAGCTATAAAGTAACCCTATTCATAAAGCCGACAGCTAGTAACATGCGCTTGTTGAATATTATCCATATGCTCTCAGTACGAAGCCAGTCGCTTTTGATTCAAGTAAAGAAAAGGTCCAAAGAAGATAGAATATTAGTACTCGCTCGACAGCATTTCCCCGGATATCCCTGTTTCGAAATCGACAAATACGACGTTGGGCTATTCCGGTGGTATGCATATGCCCTGATAGTGGTCGGGCCGCCGGTGGCAATAGGCAGGCAAGACCCACTCTGTAGATAGATTTCTTCAACAATAAATAGGTCCCAAGTGATTGATACAAGCGACTACACCACTGTTACCTTCTTTCATTTCGCGATTTGCACATCGCCATCCTCTCACTTCTTCTCGCTCTGCAAAAGAAACTTGAATCAACACATGTCGCCAAGATGAAGGTCGCTTCAAGCCTAGCACTTGTTCTTCTCCCTAGCCTCGCCCTCGCAGAAGCATCCCGTTGGGTGTGTGGCAGCGGTCTAGACGACGCTGCGTTGACCACCACTGTATGCACCGACCTTTCACACGCGAACTGTGTAAGTGACTTTTGGATTTCCTTTTACAATGACGCAGATTCGCTCGGCAAAGTCACCACCTGTACTGATACCACATAGGTTTACCCAAAACGCTTCAAAAAGGGTTTCTTGATCAAGAAACCGAGGTGCAGAGGAAATTTTCCGTACTTGTATCCCCTGATGGGCCAACTCATCAATACGGATCCCTGCTGGGTCAATGGCGAGCAAGGTGAGTGGGCGTGCATTTGGCCGAAATAGGTCGCTTGCTGCGCAAAGGAGCGCTGGTTGCTCACACCACCACCGAGGATTGCACTGGCTGTATGAAGGATAAGCTATGCGGGCATCAAGTTTTGAAGACTGTGGCATGCAAAATGCTACGTTTCGATATTGGTGGAAACTATGATGAGATGAAGCCACTATTCATGTATATACATCGACGTTATGACACACACTTTTTTTTCACTCAGCTCGTCCTTGGCCTTTTACTCTCTCTTTTTCTCCGAGTTCCCGGAGCACGGGCAAGATGGATGTTTTCCCTCTCTAGAGGTAAAAGAAGCGTTGCAGTACAACCGTATAACGATATGACCTAGGCTATTTGAATACAAACAAGAGAAAGATTGCATATAAATACATGACTACTCAAACTCACAACCTGTCACACTACGACCACTACAAACTTCCCCTTATGCACTACCACACCACCTCCAATCCCGTTTCCACCCCACCCTCTTCCCTCCAACTGAGTGAAATCCCCTCATTCTATCAAAATATATACTGTCGTCTTGGACAAGCTACTTGCTTTTCCCCCTACCTCCTTTCTTTCTTCCGTGTAGTCCCTTATCCCATATCCAAAGCCCTTACCCCTCCAACTCTTTCGAACCACAAAGAAAAAAATGTGGGAAATTATCCCAGCGTCTGTTCAGCACGCTATGTATGATTTCAAAGCTATACCGGAATCTAGGTTCTTTTCTTTTTTTTTTGTGATGTTGGGTAGATCTGGTACTTACGAGGGAAAAGAGGAGGGAGGATAATGCACTGGCTATAGATAAAACTAGAAATAGAGATAGAGCCACGTGCGACTCCCATGCTATCCATGACAAAACAATACAGTCAGTCACACAGCAGCATGACTGCGCTAGCAGAGTCTTAGACATCAGCTTCAGTACGTGGTGAGAAGAGCAAGGGAAAGGAGACGAAAAGTGATGGTATTGTAGTCGCTAACAGAGTAAGTAGCATGAAAGGTGGAATCCGCGAAGATGTACACGCGAGCTAGACTAAAGACACGATAAGTACCGAACAAGGGCTTCCTCCTTTGAAGCCACAAACACAACAATTCGATCTTGAGGAATGAAACATATCGTAATATCTGAGCAAAATATCAAAACTGTAATCATGATGGTAATGATGATGTAAGCCGTAGTTCAATATATATTGGTACACGTCATGAAAAGAAAAGAGTATTATATTACAAAAAGGCATCACAAAGCAAATATTACCACGTACGCCATCAAAAACTACGCACAGTCACGGCGCTGAGGTAGTCCCGTCTTCTGCAGCACGCCCGCAAGATCACCATCGACAATCTTGTCCCAGCCCCTCTCGGGGCCCCAGGCAATGCGCTTCTGATGGAGCCGGGCCTCGTCGAGCAAGCCGGCGAGCAGCGGACTCGTGCTGGGCACACTGGGATACGCATCGAACTCGACGTCGTGGATGGACGGCACCTGTGCGAGCAGGCCGCGCAGCAGGTTGATGCAGTATTCCGTGTAGAAGTTGTTTGCGACGCGGAAGCCCTCGAAGACGTCATTGGAGGCCGGGTCGATTTCTACAAACACGCTGAGTCGGTATACCTTCTTTGCGGCGGCTAGGCCCAGCCGGCTGTCGACGACCCAGCATTTCGGCGGCTTCGTGAAGCCAGGGCCGAGCCGCAGCTCGAGCCGCGTGAGGAGCTCGCGGTATTTGCGCGGGAACCATGCTAGCAGCGGGTGTTTGCGGTTGATGTACCGGCCGTGAACCGGGAAGACGCGAAACGTGTTGCGGCCGTAGAAGACGCGCGAGGCTTCGGCGTGCATGCGGCGGTCCACGAGGAAGAGGCTCAGGGCCGGCGCGACGGTGCTGTAGTTGGAGGGATCGAGATCGATTGTGCGTGGGAAAACGAGCACCTCCTCGTAGACGCGCAGCCGCAGCTCGTACGGGAGATCGAAGAAGCGGAACGGCTGGGTCGCAACCTTTTGCGCATCTTCGCTACGCCTCTCGACTTTGACTGCCGGCTTGTGTGCGGCCTGCTCGTCGACGAGGCGCATTTTGCTCATGCGATTGACCATATGGTCAATCGCCTTTTTCTTGCGAGCCATGGGTCCTACGCAGCGCTCTCCAAAGCGACCACTTCTATCGCTTTAGGAGAGCCTCTATGCATCCATCGCGACGCCTTCGTCCGTGTACGTATTCGCTTCTCGGTCGGGAGGCCAAACGGGCGCCGTATCAATGACGAAAATTTTATTATTACGCGAGGATGATGTCTCGGAGCTACGGGACCGTCAGACCATGCGGTGAGGGTAGACAGTTCTTGGGAGCAAAGAGTTTTCTTCTCCCCAGCTTATGTCAACTTCAATCTTATGGAGGCGCAAAGAGTGAGGTCAAATTCTGTGGGTGCAACTTTCATAGGGAGAAAAGGTGAGAGGGCGGTAGAACGGGTTTTGTTCTGCGGCCCCACTGGCGGGTTAGTCAGCCAAACCGAGGTCTGGTCTTCGCCGATTCGCCGACTCCACTTGATTCGTCGTTGTCTTACTTACGGCTTTATAGTGAGAGAAGTAGAAACAGTGCACATAATTCATTCATCGTTGCTAAGCTACTACAAAACAATTCAATCCTCTCGTAATCCATATCCGCGTGAAAACATAACCGAGGCAAACTGCCAAAGTCCTATACAGTGCTATACCAAATGCAGTTCTCCCATTCCAATCCACCCACTTCACTGCTATCCTATCACCGTATCCAATATTCCAATTTTCATTCCAACTCTTGAGCTGCACTAGTGATTGGGATCGCAGGTGTTGCACACCGTGTCACCGATCAGTTCCGTCGCAGAAGTGATGTCGACGATTCCACACGCTTCCTGCGCAATCGCGTATCCAGTGCAGTCAGTCATATTTCCGGCTCGAGTCCGGTTATAGCGAGGACGACCCTGAGGCGGCACGGGGTTAGGAAATGGTGTTGTGGCGTCTATCGGGATGCCAGCGGTGATGCCCCGGCCGCCATACAGACCGTTCCTCGGAAAGCGATTGTTACGGTGATCGTACCGAGGCATTGTGTAGTACGTCGGAGCCTGGTGATTGCGTGGACCCACAGGAAACCCAACGTTGTGCGCCCTTGTCAGGTCAATGTTGTAATGGCGAGGAGTGTTGTTGTCTTTGTGGCGCGCAACGGCAGTTTGCTCATCGATCTTATCATATTGGCTTGCAAAAGGCTGGAATACCTCACCGTCATCAACGTTGCGTACTGCCTCTAAATTCTCAATGTTGGCGTGGAAATCACCTCCACCGGTGACCGAATTAGGCCCGTGAGGAGATATGGGAAGCGCCGCGATTTCTGCATAAGACCTTGACTGTCCTGGGACTGGAAGAGGGCGGCCAACTGTGGACATCTCAGTGGCAGGATGCTCAAGAGAAACCGTATGCAATGGACCGCCAGATGATGAAACCGAGTCTCGCGGTTTCCTGGGCTTGAATTTCCGCGCTGGTTTGGGTCGGCCATTCCGAACGCCTTGTTCATAGGCGAACTGGATACCGTACATGTACCAGAGAAACGGTATCGAATTTCTATCCAGCATCGTCATATCTGGTAGGCCAGCCACATCTTGCAGTGAGTCCAGAGTTGCAGCCTCTGTCACAGGCTCCGTCGCGCGAGTTGTGTGTGCAAACTGGGGTACGAACTCGGCCGCAGTCGCACGAAGATCTGAGCCCATTCTATGTTGCGTTGAATTTGTATTGTCGGCCTGCGTCTGCGAGCTTGACACTCGATCCTTTTCCCTTGTTCGTACTGGTTCAATGTTCTCACTATCAATTACGTGGTCACCGGTCGTAGAGGTAGTATTATGAGGCGTGCTGGTAAGCTGGTCGCTTCCTATGTCCAGGTGTGAGTCAATATGTCAAAATGCGGAGGGATCCAAGCTGGATGTGAGATTCATATACCAGAAACCTCTTCCTTACTACTATAGATTATGGCAGGATCCTGAGAAACCGGGTGGGCAAAATCTCTGGATACGCGTATGGTGGAGCTGCTGGACACTTGGCGAGAAGACTGCGAACACTCGTCCGACTGAACCGCATTTCGTCCTGTTTGTTCTCCATCATCTTGATGTAGGCCTGGTTCAATATTGGCGGAATATTCTGCTAGTTTTTTTCCACTCGGAAAATGAGCGTGCTTCACTGATCTGACATCAGGATTAAGCTCAGCAGCCTTCCCATCTTGCTGTTGTCCCATGTTCGAATCCGAATGTTCAGCTTTTGCGGATTTTGGTTCAGCAATTTCCGCCTTAGTCTCACCGGATTCATTATGCCTGCCGTGGGTCTTGGTCTTTGACCTGATAGTCTGCACAGAACGAGTTCGCTGCAAGGCAGGGATACGAGATGCATTGTGATTCTTGACCGTTCCACCCACTCGAGGGATCCGGGACGTATTAGTAGAACAACCTTCAGCTGTCGGTGATACCACAGCTTCATGATCAGAATCGAAATCTGCATGCGATGTAGGTAGCGACGTAGGTATGGAGATTGGAGGCTTTGCTCTCGACAAGCTGGCCTTCCCTCCACCATTTACTTTCACACCTGATGCCAAAGAGTTATCAATGTTCGGGGATAGCTGCTCCTTCTACCCGTCAGCACTCAAGTCAGGAACGGATATAGAAACCTCTTGAAGGTTGCCTGCAGCCAACCAAAAGCTATGCTCTGTGCTTGTAGGGCTCCTTACAGGCGAGTCCTCTGAAAATATATTCCGCATGCAGTATGTAACACCGACAACTTTGCTTATCGCCCGCATGTGATCTTCCGTTGGCCAGCGGTGTGTGCAATGGGACGGCTTTGTTGGAGAGCTGACAGGCTGCTGGCGCGCGACGCCACATTGCGGTGATGAGGTACGGCCTTCCCATGCTAGCTTTGGAGGAGAGATGGGATATTTTCCAGGACTCGAAGGCGACTTGGTGGGCGCTATAGGGGGTTCAACGGCCGCCAGAGCCTCTTTCGTCAAGTATGTTCCACCCTCTCTGCCATGCACTTTGCCCAATTCGACTGAACTGTGGGTAGTACGAAGTGTCTTCACATGGGCAGGCGAACCGCTCTCGGATTGCTTCTTGTATGTTCGGTCCTTCGCACGCTGAGCTGTTGCGAGCTTCGGGCTGACGGGCCTGGGAAGCCAATGGGAGGGAAGGGACTTGCGGGGGCTTCGAGCAGGCTGCTCGATTGGGCGTGTAACGGATTCATGATCGATGTTCTCGAGAACCTGTTCCTGGCCAGGACTCATGGTATGGCTGATGGACGATTCGACCGAGCGGCTAGATATACGAGGCGGCGCACCAGAAAGGCCTTGATAGTGTCAGAGCGACCGTTATACAAGTCAACCAGAGCGAGGAAGCAACCATCTTACCATCATGAGTAGTTTTCATTTGCAGTTCAGACTGTATACTCAACGGAATGTTAATGTAGACGTTATTGAATCCCTGGCTATCCAGTAGCGAGCGAGCATGACTGAGCGTCGCTTCAAGCCTTGCACGCTCCTCTTCATCAAGAGCAGATTGTGGAATCAAAGCAGCCCGACGATGTGTTTGTTCCTGTTCGTTCTGTGCGTTGATGTGCAAAGCCGGTGAGCGACCGGCTTCAGATGGTGTAAGAGTTGACATGATAACTTTATTCTGCGACTGTTGCTGTTGCTGAGTATTCGGATGAGATGAAGTACTAATGTTGACTTTGGGTGCTGATGGGTGTAAAGAAGATGTAGCGTGTTGATCTCTGGAGCTACTGCCGGCATCCGCTTTTTCTTGCGAACGACGGTCGCTACCCAGGTCAGTACGGTAAAGTAGCAAAATACACCCGCCAAGGACACTTACAGTAGAGGCAGATCAAGCGCTGCCGTTTTGTCGCAGTAGGATATTCTGGTGAGTTCACCGTGTCGACAGGCTGAGTAATAACAGTAACGATAAATACACATGTTGCTAGGTAGTCGTCATCCAATGCGTTCTCCGGGAAAGCTCAACACTGGGTATCCAATTTGCAAAAGGAAGTAAGAGGGCTGTGACACAGAGGAGAAGGTGCGGTGTAGATGGCTGTGCGTAGTTGCGAGGGACTAGTGATTAACAAACAAACGTAAGGAACACACCCGAATAAGTGAAAGAAGAAAAACGAGGAAACCACATGCTTATTGGCAGTCGTGTGAATGAAGATGAGAGTGACAAGCTTTCACTAGACACCTGGTTTGAGTATGCATGAATGACTACACGTCAGAACCTCTTCTTCTTCTTCTTCTTCTTCTTCTGTTGCGCTTGTTTTTTCGCTGCTTCCTCGTTCCTTCGCTTCAGTTCAGCCCGCCTTCTTTCGGCCTTTTCTTCTGGTGTCTCTTCTTGAACCTCCTCAACTGGTGGTGCTTCCTGTGTTGCTTCCTGTGACTGGGGTGGCGATGACGGTGGCTCTATTGTAGGAGATGCCATATCCCTTGTGCGGTTTTTGCTGGGAGAAGCTGTAACGGCGAGCTGTGAAGGCTCATTATCTTCAGTGGCTCTCGCTTTGCCACCAATCCTAAACGGTTTTCTGAGTTTTCTAGGTGTCATGGCCATCTCTGTTTGTTGGGAAGCTGGAGGGACAGATTCTCTCGTCATCAGAGCGATGTCAGGATTGGCTCCTACAATTGCGCCATCTGGTAATGGCGTGGGAGACGAGGATATTCTTTGCGGCTTACCACCTATGCGGAAGCTGCTGGCTTTGGGTTTGGTTGCCGATGGTGCAGCCGCGACGGGCGAAGAACGTTGGTCGGGCGATGAAGATCTTTGCCGTACAGATTGTGAGATGTCTTGGGATTTATTCTGACTGTAGCTCTTTGGCGGTGCATCAAGGTCGTTCTCTTCTTCAGTGCTGTCGCTTTCATCCTCGCCATGGTCTTTCAAAGGCAGTATTTGTGTCAACGCCGCTGCCACCTTTGTCGGCTTTGGAGGAATGTTACGGGTCTGCGCAAAGTCAACAATGCGGTGGAAGTGGGATACATTGTTTCTCACTTTGAAATTCTCGTGAGTGTCAAATTCGTCTTCTGTCTCTTCGTCGCTGGATTCAGAGGCATCTTTCGATTTGACAAATGATGTAGGCTTTACTGAAATTTTGAGAGGAGCCAACTGAGTCGGCACTGATGTCCACCAAGACGTCTGAATATTCTCCGATTTCAGCTTTTCTGGCACTTTTGGTGTGGTCTGAGCCAGTGCTTCCTGGAACAAGCCCAATGAAGTCAGGTCTGAATCCTCCAAGTGCCCCGTGTCTTGCCTCCATGCGTCCTCATGAAAGGGCCGCAAGGCGGGAACGTGCTTTGCCGCTTGCTCACGCTTGACCGTTCTTCTTCCAGCCTTGGTGCCGCCCACGCTAGGGAAAGCGGCAGCCAAGTCCATGTTGGTTGCATCGAACTGATCTAGCAGTCTATTGATTGCATTATCCTTGCTAGCGATTGTTTTGATGAGACTGGCAATGCGCTCATTCTGGATATGCGAGGAGACAAAAAGGGTGAGAATGAGTTCATTCTTGAGGGCTGTAGATGTGCGCTTCTGCAGATGAAACCTCCACTGCAGGCGGCCGAGTGGCTCTGGAAGGCTGATGGTAGTATGCAGGATGATGCTGTCTTCTTCATTGCGAGTGATGCGGCATGTTGCATCTCCTGCATTATGGAGCGGCTTCGCGATGTTTTCTAGAAGAACGGCAAGCTGCGCAGGATCCTGTTTGCTGGCTTCGATTGGCGATTGCTCTTGCGAAGCTCGGTCCACGATGTCGTCCAGACCCAGCTCTTCACACCATATGTTACTCAGATCGGTAAGATGCACAATGTACGAGTCCGGGTTGAAGGTAGGTTTGACAAGCAGCGGCGGTACCTGCTCATCTCCTGGCTGCTTGAGGAGCGTCAGTACGCGCCAGCAAGACATGTTGGCAGCATGAGAAACGAGGAACGATGGTCATGTCTGTGTTGAAGAAATGGGCAGAGAAGGCCGTCGATTGACTAGATGGGGGACTAGCGCGGTGAAAGGCAGCAGTGCCAAGCACTGTTTCTCAAAGGGGAACAGATCCCTGCGGGTGCGGAAGGCGCCCGTACGTCACCAGCCTCGGCCAAAGATTTCGCGATCTCCCTCCGCGTGTACATTGCCATAGCCAAGCTTTACTCTTGCACCAGAATCCCCTCACCGTCATCCAACATGTCATCACGCGACCCCCCATGGCGAAATGAGCGCAGTCGCTACGCCCAGCGCGATGCACCAGCATCGTCTATTCCCGCAAAGCGCTCAGCCGATGCGCGAGCGCACGACAATCCAGCGAAACGGTCAACCAACGCGGCCGAGGAGGCGTGGGTGGCGGACGAGGATCGGTTCGTGCTGCAGCAGGCCAAGAAGAAGGCAGCGTTGCGCGTAAGAGGCGGACGCGCCAAACCCATTGACTGGCTGGCCGTCACATTGCGCTTCATCGACCCTGCTGAGAAATCGATACTGGACGAAGAGGTCGAGGATCACGAGCTGGACATTGTGGACCCCGAGGGAGTGCTCGAGGGGCTGAATAACGAAGAGCTTGCTGAGCTGGAGAAGGAGATTGAGAACTACCTCACGCTCGAGACGAGCAAGAGCAATCGCGACTACTGGACCGTGAGTGTTTGCGCATACATTGCCTCGACGCCGCTAACCCTGCCAGTCGCTCAAAGCAATCTGCAAAGATATCCGCCGCAAATCCAGGACATCAAAATCCGAGGCACGCGGCACCAGCTCCGTGGCTGCCGACATTGACCAGCTGCTCGCACCAAAGTCGTATGAGCAGCTCGAGACACTCGAGGTGCAGGTCAAGAGGAAGCTGGACTCTGACGAGCCCATTGACTACGACTACTGGGAACAACTGCTGCGAAGCCTGCGCGTATGGAAGGCCAAGGCGAAGCTGCGGCGCGTGTCGCAGGAGATTGTCAAGGAACGCCTGCAGACGCTGCGCAAGCAACAGGCCGAGGCCGCCGCATCTGTACAAGGCAACATCTATGCCATGCTCAAAGGCAATGATGATGCGGCAGAGCTGCGGCCCACTACCGTCGCATACGACGCATCCGTGGATCCGGAACCGATGCTGAAGCTGCGCGCCGAAGACAAGACGCTGCCGCAAGTCGAGGAGAAGACTTTCCTCGACGACTTGGCGTCGGAAAGGCGCAAGATTCAGAAGGTCGGCTACGTCCCTTCTAAAGCAAAGATGAGCAACGACACGCGCACCAGCAGCAGCAGCCAGCCTGCGACGAGCGCGGCTGTGACGACGAGCGCGTCGCGATTTGCGCCCGTGGAAAAGGAAGACTACTCCAAGGCGACCATGGCGCTATACGAAAGAGAAGTGGCACGAGGGGTTGAGGAGGGCGAAGAGGTGTTTAATGCTGAAGAGGAGGTGACCACGGCCCGTCCTCACGCAGACGGCAGCTACAAGCCCAGAAAGCCGCGCTACTTCAACCGCGTGCAGATGGGCTATGAGTGGAACAAGTACAATCAGACGCACTATGACCACGACAACCCGCCGCCCAAGGTGGTGCAGGGATACAAGTTCAACATCTTCTACCCCGACCTCATTGACAAGAGCAAGGCGCCCACGTACAAGATTGAGCGCGAGAATGGGCGTAGAAAGGGACAGTCGTTTGCACCAGCGGGCGAAGACGACACGTGCCTGATACGGTTCATTGCGGGCCCGCCCTACGAGGACATTGCGTTCAGGATCGTGGACAAGGAATGGGACTACAGTGCCAAGCGCGAACGCGGTTTCAAGAGCAGCTTTGACAAGGTAGGCTCTCGGACGTATGGCTTGGGAGTACGTGGCTGACGCAAGGCAGGGAATTCTGCAACTGCACTTCCAGTTCAAGAAGGTCGGTCAAAGGCATGTGAAGGCCATGGTTGCACGGCTAACATGTGGCAGATATACTATCGAAAGTAGCGGTGTTCTCCCAGGCGCGGGTATCAGGGCTGTGCAGTCGGCGCAGCAGCAGTTGGCGCATCTCTTGGATGTGGTGCCGATGATAGGACGGTGGGCAGGATGGGCATTACACAAGGCCTGGCGTGTTGATGGGTACGTTCTCGGATGCGTGGCAGTGACCACGTATGCTGGCCGTGGCCAACGGTGAAGCTTCTGGTCTCGCCACGGACAGCTGCCAACCGCCTCGGAGCGGCCTCGCGGTGACGGCATGCTGGTCGCTGGCAGCGTTGGCGGTGTACCTCTCTGGCTGAGCGGTGACGGGCTGCCCTGCCGGCCAGCCAATACGCGGCAAACAACGGGCGTGGATGAAGTCAAGCAGGACAAGGAGGTCAAGCAGGGACTGTGAGGCCGCTTGACCGGAAAGCAAGGCCGGGCAGATTGTACTACGCTTCTCCTGTCCCCAAACGGCTGCGGGCGGTGCGGCTTGGGCAGAGACGGCACGAGCACGTGGGAGGTATGCAGCTTTCTTTGAGTGGACAAGCGCTTGCTGCTCGCTGGACGGTGCTCTCTTGTCTGTTTCTTTGCGTGACGATGCTGTGGTGGCGGCGGACGGGAGTGGTTTTGCACATGGGATGTCGTCGGCTGGGGGAGCAGCGGATAGGAGCCGGGCAGCCCGACGCGGACGGAGAGAGGCAAGGGCTGCGGCAGTGTCGCAAGAGGAATGGGGCGTGTGCAGGCTCCCGTCTTGCGTGGGCGTCGTTGGCTGCAGCGGTTGCACAGAAAAGTCATCCCGACTGTCAGAAGCAGAAGCAGTGCCGCGACCTTGTCCAGGCGCCGTCTCGGGCCGTGGCCGTGGCAGAGCGACGGCTGTGGTGGTGGTGGTGGTGGTGGCATGCCGGCCGCTCTGCATCTGCATCTGCATCTGCATCTGCATCTGCATCTGCACCAGCGTCTCTGCCATGACCTCTCACTTCTTGTTTGTCCACGCCTGCGCCTACGCTTGCAGTAGGAACCCGTCGCCGCCGCGTCCAGGTGACAATGGCCATGAGCCCCATTCGCTGCCATGTAAAATGTCTTGCCTTTCGCTTCACTTGGGCCCAGAGCCCTTCACTCATCCGCCCGTCCATCCTGCGCCACTCTCTACGTCTCACACGCGCTGCTCACCGTTTAGCCCCGTGAAAGCACCACACCACGACAACCATGCCACATGCACAATCACCCCATCGCCCTGGCTCCAGAGACCCATACGCCGGCCTGGATGCCGCCCGCTCATCAAAGCTTCCCGTTTGTGCTCCGCTGCCGCTCTCGCTCCACGCCCAGAGTCCGCTGTTATCTCAGCCTGTCGCCACACTGCCCGTCCATGCTCGCTCCAGCGCCTTTCCCTCTGAGCACAGCAGGATGAATTTCAACCACCAAGACGGCATCCAGTGGCCTGCGCCCCCGGGCTTCATGTTCAATTCTGCCACTGCCGGCCCCGACGCCTACCACGCACCAAATGCCTTCTCTGCACTCCCAAGCGACCACTACCACTACAACCTGGCCTACACCGCGCCCTACCCCACCTCAAACTGCCCGCGCTCCTACAATGCTCTTGATTTGACCGGACTGCCCAACGACCTGGCCATGGCCGACTCGTTCCCGCCCAACGCCTACCACATTGAGCCGCCCAAGCACCACGATGCCATGGACCTGTCGGACCACGAAACCAAAACCCAGCTGATGCAGCTCAGCAACGACTATGAGCACACGCCATACGGCTGTTCTCTCAAGATCGAAGACCACAATGGCTACCACAGTCCCTACTCTGACCCCACCCACGTCTCTACACCTCATGACGATGCCTCTAGAAGTACCCTCGATCTGGACACTGGGGAGGGCGGCATGTTTGACAAGGAGCAGCCGTACGCCCAGTTGATCTACCAAGCTCTTCTGAACGCCCCGGGGCACACCATGATACTCCGCGACATCTACGATTGGTTCAAGAACAACACGGACAAGGCCAGCGCCTCGGAAACCAAGGGATGGCAGAACAGCATCAGGCATAATCTGTCCATGAATGGCGTAGGTTGGCTGTATGTGAGCTAGCACTTTCATGACTAACCATTCAGCAGGCATTCGAGAAAGTCGACCAGCCAGGCGACGAGGCTCGCAAGGGTTTCATGTGGCGCCTCACTGAACAAGCGATCCGCGAGGGCGTCAAATCAACAACTCGCTACCGCAGCAAGCAGCCCAACAAGCGCGGACATCGCAGCCAACAACCTCAGCCCCAGCGTCAGGCATCAGGCGCAAAAGGCGGCCAGGCAGCCCGTCGCGCCGCCAGACTGAAGCGGTCTGCTCGCTTGCACGAAGCCTACCGCAGCGCCCAGCACATGTCGCGATCTGTCCCCGCCTCGTTCGACCCGTCATATTACCGTTCCGGCTTCTCCAGCTCGCATCCATCATCTCCATTCCACGGAAGCGACGCAGACTTTGGCTACGGCTCCCAACACGGCGACTACCCAGCGAGTCCGCTCCCAGATAGTTGTCCTGTCGACTTTCTCTCGTCGGCCGCATCCTACGTCGGCAGTCCCATGTCGCAAGGCATGCCCATCACAGACACGGCGTGCCTGCTCGACCAGAGCCCGTCCGACAGCCTTTTCACAAACAGCCCTAGTCCAAGTGCAGACGAGCCGCGGACGCCCATGGACCAGGACCTCTGGCACGACGACGTGGCAATGGGGCCCTCCTGCATGTTTGAAGACCAGCTTGTATATCGCGAGAACGCAAGCTAAACTGTAAGTAAAGTGTATCTGAGCTGTATTTTTTTTGCCGCCCCGTTGATCGGGTTTCCGCACCCAACGAGCTCAGGGAACGACTTTTTCTTGTACTGTAATCTCGATTGTTGGCTGGGGGGCTGGGGGGCTGATCCCGAAATTTGTGGTTCCCATGTAGTAAACCTCCATGAATGGGTACTTGGTGTATAGCAAGACCAGCGAAATTTTCCCAAGTCTGCTTTTTTTTTAATTCTCATTCTACTTGTCGCGTTGGCTATGGGGATTGGTGGTTGCACTTTTTTTTCGTTCAGTCGCGTTCTCACACTCATATACACATGACATGATTGCCACCATGTCTCATGTACATTGCGAGAGTGAGAGTGAGAGCGAGACTGGTACCCCTCAAACCCAAGATTCTCAGCCTCATCGTCTAGAAAAACTCTGTAGATCAAAATCAAACTTATAGAAAATGAAATCAAAATTTAAAAAAAAATTATTAGAAAAATCGCTTTGTCCTTCCCCCCGCCCTCCACCAGAAAAAAACGCCCTATCATTTTTTATTTTGGCCATCATCCCTTTTTCGTTGGCGCGTGCGTGAGCCAAGTACTTATGATGCAATGACGACTTTTTGACTTGGATTACACATACTTACGCCTTATCAAGACAAGCTGCAAATACCTATGAAGTTACCCCCCCCCTTCTCTCTCCCAATCACTACGTACACTGCAAGACGCTCCAAATAAGGGTGAACCGCCCCCCTTTTTCTTTAGAGCCCTTCTCTTTGTCCCACACCCGGATCCTACTACCCGCGTTCCCCGCTGCACGTTTAGCCAGCTCCTCCACTTGTTACATACTGCTACCTACATTCCACTGCCGCTACTACTACTACTACTACTACTGTCACTGCCACTGCCACTGCCACTGCTACTGTAACAAGGGCAGCCTGGTAACCAGGCAAATGCAGGTCAGTAGCGTGTGCATGTCTGTCGACATTGCTGGCTATGGCGTGTACATACCAGGGGGATGTGGTCATCTTTGTACGCATGTTGCACTGCATCTAAAGAGGCTGGGGTGGTGGGGTGTGTGTCTTGTTTCACTAATTCTCCAATTTCCAAAAAAAAACAAATGGTGGACGACGTAGGAGGGGGCTTGGTTGTGATTTGGTTTGGTTTGGTTTAGTGGGAAAGGGAAGGCTGATGGATGGGAGGGATCGTGAGTATGTATTGTATTGTATGTATGTATTGTATTGTATGTATGTATGTATGTATGTATTAAACTAAGGGATTAGATGGATTGGAGCGGTGGGTGCAAAATACCAGTAATAACTAATAACGAATAACTAGGAACGATATGAAAAGTTGCTGGCCATGCTAACTAGGCAGTCAATTGAGCCATGTACATAGTTGGTCAGGTACCGAGTTGGTCGGGTATTAGCAAGGCAAAGCAAGGTAAGGCGAGGCTGTGTGTGTGTAGCAGATGTAACTGCGTCCTTGCAGAAGCCGGGAATAAAAGAAATGGAGAACCCCCGGTCCAATGGGATCTCGCACCGCGCGAAGTGCACAAAGATGATGCTTGTTGGGTGGTGGTGGTACACTACACAAAGTCCCCTTCAACGGTACCCTGCCTCTCCTCCCTCCCTCCCTTCCTCTTCCCCATTTCCCTCTACCACTATCTACTTACCTACCGAACCTAACCTAACCCACGTAACAGGCACAGGCGTAGGCTTCCCACCCGTTTCCGCGCGAACTAACAACCTCAGCAGCATAAACCACACTCCAGAAGAAGAAGAAGAAAAGTAAAATCGTATGTTGAGTTGCCTCAACATCCAAAGTTACACCAAATGAAAAAAAACCCTTGCTGTGTCTCACTTCCATTTCTCAATCTCATATCACCACGTCGACATCCACGTCAGCTTTCCTTTTTGTCCCCGCATCCCGTATCCCGTATCCCGCATCCGCTCCTCGCCTTCCTTCCTCCCGCGTGAAGCCGGATTTTTTTTTCTATCTTTTTGGTCCGTTGCTAAGACATGCTACATATAATATATTACAAACTCCAGTGCTTACAAGTACATAGGTTGAGCTTCGCATGACTGACAACGCGCGTTGGATGAAGAAAGAAAGGCCGTGATTGGTTTGGGGGGGACTCTTGGCATTGCTTACAAGCTAAGCTTTCTTCAGTGGTCTTATGTGAGCGATGGCAGGTCGGTATTTTTGCTGTTTCTGCGTTTTGCCGCTGTTGCTTATTGCTTGTTTCTTATTGCTTTTGCTAGTGTGGTATATGTAATATGGCGTGTTGTGTCGTGTGAGATAAACTGGTTGTTTAATAATTTGGCTTTGTATAGTAGTAGACGTAGTAGTATTGGTGGAGCGTGAGAGTTTATCGATATTGTCTTTATGCTGATAGTGCTGATAGTTGCTTACTTAGTTATCTGCCTTTGACTCGTGTTCTCCTATTGCGGTGCGTGTTTGCCGAGGCTGATGAGATAGATGGCGTACGAGTCGAAGTCTCATTTCCAGCATCGGAGGGAGATGAGATGGAGAATGGCTAGTCGATATCTCATTTCCAGTATACACCGACGGCTACGCTTTATGCTCGACTGCTTGCAAAAGTCCCTGAAACACGACTAGTTATGCACACGTCGAGTTAATAGTATTGGACTAGTGCTAGCGGTAAGCAGGGCTAGCATTGTCCATTTCAACCACGTGCCATTTACCGTTGCTGCATACCCGCGTCCGGCCGAGTAAATGAGCGACGACCATTACCGAAGATGGGGGGCTGGGTCCAGGGAGGGGAACTACACCCTTTTACTCTTATTTTAGCTGCGGTCGAACTGCCTGGCAGAAGTCGACCGTCATAGCGGACATCATTTCCAAGTCGCTCCGAGAGTAAGGACCGTCGTGGAGGCATGTGCAAGATTGGAGAGGAACAAACTTCATAGCAGGCTGCGTGGATCCACGTAGGGGTGTCTCAGGCGGTGAACGACAAGGCCTGGGAAGCTTCCTCACAGACGGGAAGCAGGCTGGGCCGGCTAGCCCGTAGACAACGGCTTCCAATGAACAGAGTCGGACTTGGAGAGGCGTAAGGGAGGCAGATGGGGAGTTGGGCGGGCGGGAAATTATAGGGAAAAATCCACCAATGTGCTGAGCCAAGCGCCCAGGGGGGTGGAGAAGGCTTCGCTCGTCTTGGCCTAGCGCCACAGCTCGGGCCCGCTTAGCCACTGTGGCCGTGAGGAGAATCTCTAGGATCATCGTGGACATGGTCGAATAATTCCTCCGCGACTACTCCATATCGCCTTGCATGGCACCATTGCCATCAGGGGGGACTTGCCAATGTCTAGGCCAATATCTGGGCCAAGGCCAAGCCCGCGGCTGCAAGGCTGGCGGCGTGGATATAAGATAGCTGGTCTGCTATCTTAACACACTTGCTGTGTGCTGTACCTCGACTACATATCACCCAACCACCACGCTGACCATGCGTATCACCGACCTTCTTGCCGGCGCGTTGCTGCACGCTTCGACTGCACTGTCGTTTGCTTCAGCTGGCCCTCCTGCTGGCCGTGGAGTTTCGATCCGCCCAAACTATGCCGCGTCCCCGTACCACCCAGGAAAGCCTTTCCCCAAGTCTCCCATCCGAACCAAGACATGCATGCTCTCGGCTCTCGGTGGCGGCAAAGACGACTCTGCGAATATTCTCAAGGCAGTCAAAAAATGCAATCACGGCGGCCACGTAGTGTTCCCCAAGGACCAGAGCTTCACCATTGGCACCGCGCTGGATCTTACGTTCCTGCAGAGCATCGACCTGGGTTTGTCGATCCCCGGCATTCTGTAATAGATTGCACCAAACTAACGCGTCAGGCCAGATATCCAAGGCACCATCCAATTCACAAACGACACCGACTACTGGCAGGCGAATTCCTTCAAGCAAATCTTCCAAAACGCAACGACTTTCTTCCAGATTGGCGGCCACGACATCAATGTCTATGGCGGCGGCACGCTCGACGGCAACGGCCAGGCGTGGTACGACCTGTACGCAAAGGACATTTACATCCTGCGGCCGATTCTATTCGGCCTGATTGGCGCCAAGGGCGCCACCATCTCAGACCTCAAGTTCCGGTACAGCCCGCAGTGGTACACGTTTGTCGCAAACTCGAGCCAAGTCATCTTCTCCAACATTGATATTTTCGGCGACAGCACGAGCAAGTCGCCGGCCAAGAACACGGATGGGTACGTTCCATTTCCCACTTAACCGGAGTAATCTGCTTCTATGAGAGGGAAATTTTGGCTAATATGGATGAAATGAAGCTGGGATACCTACCGCTCCGACAGCATCGTGATCCAAAACTCGCACATCAACAATGGCGACGACTGCGTGTCGTTCAAGCCCAACAGCACAAACATCGTGGTGCAGAACCTCGTGTGCAACGGCAGCCACGGCATCAGCGTGGGCTCGCTGGGCCAGTACCCCGGCGAAATCGATTTCGTTGAGAACATTTACGTCTACAACATCAGCATGTCCAACGCATCCGACGGCGCGCGCATTAAAGTCTGGCCGGGCGCTTCATCCGCGCTTTCAGGCGACCTGCAGGGCGGCGGTGGCGGCGGCGCAGTTAAGAATATCACGTACGACGGCATGGTGCTGAGCAACGTCGACTATGCGATTGAAATCACGCAATGCTACGGCCAGAAGAACCTGACGCTATGCAATCAAGTACGTATCCCCCCTCCCTTCCATTCTTTCCGCAAAACAAAGTCCCTAACACACATTCATAGTTCCCCTCGAACCTCAACATCTCCGACATCACCATCCGCAACTTCAGCGGCACAACGAGCAAAAAGTACGACCCCAACATCGGGTACCTGGTGTGCTCGAGCCCCGCCGTATGCTCTGATATCTCGATTGAAAATATCAATGTCAAGAGCCCGAGCGGTACGAATACGTACACGTGTGCGAATATCGATGGCATTGACAAGCAGGTGAATTGCACGGGCAATGGGGATAAGGGCGGGCATTCGAGGAGGAGTTTGTTGCTGTAGATTCAAGATAAAAGATATGATTGATGTGTTTTGTGGTGTGGATACCCACCAAGGCAGAGGCCGAGCATTATACATAGTACATAGAAGTTGAGTTATAATAGATATTGTAAATATTTGAATGGAGTTGGTGGTGTGTTATTTTGGTGATGAAGTTAAAACTAATTCATAGATTTCTATAAATCAAGGTAGACCAACTTGACCTTAGACTAAACAGCATAACACGTGACTACAAATCCAAGGAGAGATCAATTCAGCAAATAGGATATCATCTATACAGCCGCATAACGCCAGATTCAAAAGAACAAAACTAACACAGATAGCCGCATAGAAATAAAACCACAACAGCATGGAAATTAGTCTCAACATCAACTCATCACATCATTACATCAACGGCGCCCAAACCCATTCGCCATTTGCTTCTGCACATACTTTGCGCCTTCCTTCTTGATAATCGGGAGAGCATAGTCCTTGAACATGCCCATGGCCTGTCGCTGCCACTCAGGCATCGGGGGCTTTCCGGACTTGGAGTCTCTGGTGCTCTTGCGACGATCGCCATGGCGGTCGTAGTCATCACGCCTGTCGCGGGGGCGGTCGTAGTCATCACGCCTGTCGCGGGGGCGGTCGTCGTAGCGCGAGTCGCGGCGAGACTTGCCGTTGAACATGTCGTCGTAACGGTCGTCGTGGCGTCTGCGGTCGCGGTCGCGGTCTCGGTCTCTGTCGCCGCGGGACCGGTCGCGGCGGTCGTAGTCATCGTAGTGGGAATCGCGGTCGCGGCGCCTGCGGTCGGACTTGTAGCCGTCGGATTTATAGCCTTCAGACTTGTAACCTTCGGACTTGTAGCCGTCGCGGTCTCGGCGGCCAGACTCCCTGTGGCGGCGGCGTGGGTAGTTCTCGTCGTACGAGTCGTATGTGTCCTCGCGGTGGTAGCGGGGGCGGTCATCACGACGGTGGCTTCGTCGTGGTGGGGGCGGTTCCGAGTCAGAGTCGTCGGACGAGTACGAGGGCTCTCTGCGGTGGCGACGAGGGCGAGCGTCTCTAGGGTCTCTGGGTGCTTCTGCGAGGTTGTAAGTAACTATTCCACTCGTGCGAGTAGAGCCTAGATAACGTGCCTTTTGGTGGTGCAGCTGCTCCTGGCGGGGGTGGTGGTGGATATGCGGTCTCTGGTGGTGGGGGTGGAGCAGCAGACGATTCATCTTGGTCGTATCTGCTCCTGCGAGGGCGGCGGTGGTCTCCTCTACGGCTATCACGGTACTCGCGATAGTCGCGCTGGTTGTCTTTCCCCGGCGCCCATTTAGGCTTTCCGTTCTCGTAGTTGTCGAAGACGTACGTGGGGTCTGCTGCACAACATTAGAGGGGCGCTCGACCAAAACTGCCAGACCAACAAACGGAAAAACGTACATGGCGGGCCCATGGGCGGCGGAGGCGGGGGCGAGGGCTGTCTCTCGCGGCGGCCCATAGTCTGTGGTGGTGGTGGTGGTGGTGGTGGTGGTGGTGTTGTTGTGTGGTGGTGCGATGGGGCGATGGTGGAGTTGAAGAGGCGGGCTGGTGGCAGGCGACAGCGAGCATCTGACACTTACTTAAAGCTCAGGGCGGCCTCACAAGACAGCATCGCATGGCATGGCATGGCGTCATCTGGCCCAATTGCAGCCGTGGACAGAAATTTGCGGGGCCTAGGATGCAATTCGAAGCTTCGCGTGGATGTGAGGGCGGTAGACGGGCTGACCGGGGGGCGAAGTTCATGTAGGCTGTGCTCATCGTGCATGCGTAGGCCCACCCGGTGGACATAGTTGCTTGCCGGACTGCCTTTTCGCGACCCGTCCCTGCAGCCTCTCTCTCTCTACACACCAGCAAGCGTCTCCCCCCCGCAATAGGCGCCGCATCCACATGCACATCCACATCGCCAGGCAGATCAGGGTCTCGCGGAGAATAGGCGGCCGGCGGCGTGCATCCACAGCGACATACGTGGTGTCGATGCAGTGGCGTGCTGGCGACATTGTCTGCGTTGGTGTTGCACAAGACGGCCTTGTCTAGTCGCCCTCAACACTCTCCCACTGCAACACTCGACCATACCTATACCTATACCGCCGTCGCTATTACTCCCAAGCACCGCACGTCACATGCCGCCTGCACCGCCAGCTATATCAGCCACTGTGGCGGTGCCATCGCCGGAGCGGTGAGCAGGAGCATGAGCTGAGCCTGAATCTCGAGTCGGTCCGCTGCCCGTCTAGTCACCCGCTCGTCTGCTGGCTACATCATACTCTGCAGAGTCCGAGTTGCTCGTAGCCGTCACGGGGCTAGTTGCTGCTCTCACTCGGAATGAGGCTGTCGCTGTCGTATTGTGTCCATCACAGCTGCTCTCGTACACCTGGATACCCATATCCCCACATCTCTCTACATGATTGTCGTTTTCCCAGCGTCACGTTGCACATCGATTTGCAGAGTGTGCATGAGTCGTAGTTTCTACTCGCCGTCAAGATACCGGATTTTTTCCCTCAGGCATTTGGACTGGAAAATGCCTTGAAACAGGTACTACAGCCAACTCAACAAGGTATACACAAGGCGACAAGGTGACACGCTAGTGCAGTGGGGCTGAACTAAGCGCGTCACGTGTTGCTCACGTGCCCATGCTCCACACACCGCTGACCAACCAATCGCTCGCCAGGCAACCACATCATTCTCCATGCGCAACCCCACCCTCAGCTCAACACATTGCAACATCAATCATTCCATCATACATTCAATACATTACTCATAATCATCACTATATATCCTACAACCCTAATCATACCTCAGCCCGTGACCAAATCTAAACACCGGATCCACGGTATCAAATGGCACATCCTCCAACTGCGCCGCCGCCGCCTCATCGCTCCTAGGCAGATCAAACGGCAGTTTTCCCTCAGGCCCACTGCCATCGACGCCAAAGACAACATCCAAGAACGCCTCGGGGCTCGCGCCAAAATTGACCATGAGCGCCTGCGCCTGCTCTGCTACCTCGGGGAACGCTCCAGGCCGGTCGAGGTAAATATCCACAATCGTCGGCACAGCTGCGTAGATGGCCGCTTGCCGCGCCTTCTCCGTGGCGTTGTACTCGAGAGAGCCCGAGTGGTAGTTCATTTCAAAGCCGCCGGGGCGCGGCTCGTACGGCGCAACGAGGCGGAGGAAAGCGTAGTCTGCCTCCTCCGGGGTGTCGACGACTTCAAAGTTACGCGACTCGAGGTGCGTGCTGTTGATGCCTTCGACGTAGAACTTCGCTTTTGAGCAGTCGGACGCCTTGAGCGGGAGTGCAGCGTCCTTGTTGGTGAGCAGAGTGAAGGAGCGTTTTTGCGCCTCGAAGCCAATGCTGCGCCATTCGGGCTTGCCCACGACGGCCACGGCGGCATCCGCATCGGCAAACGGGTTGTCGAAGAGACCCAGGACAAACTTCTCGCGCATCAGGCGTCGGATGGACTGGTTGATGCGCTCTTCGCTGATGATGCCCTTCTGCACGAGCTCCATGATGAGGTCGGTGCGGGACTCGCCGCCGAGCTGGTCGGTTCCTGCGTTGAGGATCTTCTCGGTGCGCTGGATCTCAGTGAGGTTCTCGGCGCCCCAGGCGCGCGCAGGCATGTCTTGCCCGGCGATGATGGAGTCAGTCACGAGGCCCCAGTCGCTGACCACAATGCCGTCGAAGCCGAGCTCGCCGCGCAGAAGATCAGTCACAATGCCCTTGTTCATGCCAGCTGCGACCTCCTCGTACTTTGTTCCCATGGGGCGCGAGTAGTACGGCATGATTTGCCTTGTTCCAGCAGCAATGGCAGCCTTGAACGGGATGAGGTGGTGCTCAAAGTTCTTGCCTGGGTACGTGGCATTCTTGCCGTAAACGAAATGGCTGTCCTCGCCGCCTTCAACCGGCCCGCTTCCAGGAAAGTGCTTCGATACAGTCGTGACAGAGTCTTTTCCGAAACCATTAGGGCCCGTGAATCCCTTGATATATGCAACGGCCAGTTCAGCTGTCAACGTCGCATTCTCGCCCATAGTGCCGCTGATACGTGCCCACCGCGGCTCGGTAGCCACATCAATCTGCGGATGCAGAGCGGATCGGATACCAACGGCGTTGTACTCTTGCCGCGCAATATCAGCAAACGTGTGGATGAGTTCGGCGTCTCGAATCGCTGCTAGACCCAGCGTCTCGGGCCACTGTGAGAACTTGGTCGCGGCAATCTGGCTACCTTCGGCGTTGGTGAATGCGTGTCTTGGGTCCGACGAGATCGTGATGGGAATGCCCAGCCTGGTATCCAGTGCCATTTGCTGGAGGTTGTTGTACCACTGCACTGTAGCACGTACATCGGCAATGGGACCGTGCAAGTTGAAGTGCGTCATGAACTTCACCTGTACATCTGGGCCCGTTGTATTCAGCAGAGTCCCATTTGGTCCCTGGTTGATAATATTGTGAAAGAGCTGGCCAGCCTTTTCCTCCAGGTTCATGCGCTGGACCAAGTCCTCGACTCGCTCGTCAATCGAGAGTGTCTTGTCCCGGTATGGCGCAGCGTCCATGTCGCTGGACCGAGCCGCCATCCGAGGATATCTTGACCCGCCAGACAAAGGAGTCCGAATCGCCGACGACATGGCTGTTGCAGCAAACAACAGCGTGGTGAAGGTGTTCAGCTTGCGCTGATTGCCATTGCGAGCGACCATCTTGCCCGGTATTAGGGGGGAGCAGAGGCACTTGAGGGATGGTAATGGCGAGTGCAAATAACAAGCTACTTGACAGAAGACACCGGTATATATGCATTCCACCCTCATGTTTCCCTCGTACCAATACTACGCCATGACTGTCCCATCATGTGCAGCCGTAGCCGGGCAAATCCGTCGGCATTTGCTCCTTGGGGAATCTTCGGGAGGGCCGTTTAGCCCGGAAGACGCGCCCAAGCATCCATCTTGTATTGATCTTGGCATTGGCACGTCTGCTGTGAGTCGCTGCCCGCCACGATGCCAAGACCTCGGGGGTGTGGAGTGCAGTATGTGGGGGAGGGCAGCAGCAAGTTAGTCGGGGTAAAGTCACCGAGGCTAGCCAAGCACAAGTCCCCCCCCCCTCGCGCCCGACGATACTCCGGCAGATTCATGATTGGACCGCACTAGCAAATGCCCTAAGTACAGGTCATGACATGTGCGAGAAAGGATTCCCAGCTATAACTTCCCCGGACTCAACCGCCCCTCCCCCCCTCCCCCCCTTTTGCACCACGTGAGGTACATACATTACATATGGAAGAAAATTTCACCCCTCTCCACAATTCCAAGGCGGCTTTTGCCCCTCAACCGGACAGCGTACCACCTTCTCCTACGTGTGCAGTGCGTGAGGCGCAAATTCGATCCAGCACTCGTGTTCCTGGCTCCGATCAACTCAAATCAATGTCTTTGCGCGAGTATACTACCCACCTTTATCTTCGCAAACGTGTCGTCAGTGAAGACTTTAAATCTAGATGTGATAGCTGGGGCAGTATCTTGATACCCCGGATTGATGGTGGAACCAAACTTGCGGTACAGCGACGGCACTAGCACTACTTAGTGCCATTGCTGCCATGGCAAGGCTACTTACGTATCCGGTCGGTCAGTAACCAGCGCGCGGTAGGTAGCCGGGTCATGGGTAAACACGGAACGCAACTTACTTACTGCATACCGATGCACACACACACACATGCGGGCGGCGGGTGGAGAAAAGCCAGAAGCAGCGATGCATTTCCGGCTAGCTTTTCTTTTTTCGCTGCTCATCCACCGCTCGGGGGATCCACTTGTGCGAGTCAGGGAACACGCGCTCGTTCCCATGGCAGCGTGTAGGGCGCTATGCTGCACATGGTTCCTCGGGGTATCTTGTAGCCGTCCATTGCTGTATCCACTCGGTTGAGCCTTGGCTCGGATGCTGGCAGCGGCGCGAGAAGACGCAGGGTTTCCTGGACAACGGCATTCAAGTACGGCATCTTGTCCGCCGTCTTTACGCTGATGGTACCTTCGCTGGTGCCGTTGTCGCAGGTCGTCTTGCATTCTTCGACAAGCTTCCGTTGCACATGAGCATGCTGCGGGAGAGAGAGACACCAAATGAGGAACATGAGTGTGTCACTTGTTGTGTCGATGCCGGCGAGGAGATGGTCGGCGCACTCACTGGCAATGTCCAGGTCATCCATGTTGCTCTTGGCCTTGGACGTTGCTGCATAAAGCTCGCTGATGATTGATTTCTGCGCTTCTGAGCGTGAGGTCTGATCGGCGTCGCGGTATGCATGCATGGCTCTTAGTGCATGCGCCCGAATGCCAGTGTACGTTGCTGGCTTGGCCATTGGTAGCAACGGCTGCACCATGGTACCCAGGAACCCGGTGCGTGTGTACATCCACGACGTGAGCGTCGGCAGGTGGACCGCAAATCAGGACAGTTGTCTGCGAGCATGACTCATGATGTCTGCCAGGAGCGCCAGATGCTCAGGTGTTCCTCTCAGCGCCGTAGTAGCGCCAAATCCGGGGGTGCCATACAAGAAGGCGGTTATGACATGGATCGAGTAGTAATGCAGTGCTGCGAAGATTTCCAATCCGCCGCCAGTCTCGCAGTTTGCTTCCACCAGCTGCAGAAAGTCCTGTGTCTTTTGCTCCACAATCCCATCGACCTTGTGCAGCGAGAGTCCGCTCTTCGAATACGGACGAGCAACCAATCGCTTCCTCTTCGCATGCTCGGCCCCGTCGGGCAAAGGTAAACATGTTCATCCTGCCATAGACGTCGAACATGCGATAGAAGTCGGTGCGCTCAAACCCGCTTCCGGCGCCGTAGATGGTGCGCAGCGCCGAAAGGGGAGTTGAAGTGAACCTCGTTCGGCCCGATGCGCACTACCGGTCCGTACCGCAGATGCAGTGCGTGAATAGTGCGTGTCCGCTGCCCGTTCCTTCGTCCCATGCAAGCCGCCACTTGGTGAACGCGTAGAGTTTTGGGCCTGGAATACGGGCTAACGGACTGTACAGCAAGGGATACAGAATGTAGTCATAGGCAAACTTGACGAATCCCGCGAGAATGATGCAGCCTATGGGGACTGCTAAGGACATTGTAGCAGATGCCGTGAGCTATACTCGTTTCTGGGAGGTTCTGATTCCTGAGTTTGAGTTGCTGGTATGTGTGATTTCTCGGGACAAGAGTCGTGGGTTTGGGTTCTTGATTGAGACAAGGTCGGCCAGTGGTGGCTGCAAGCTTGCAGAGCAGCTTGATGTCGTTCAATGGGAAGAGGCAAAGATTGTGAAAGTGAATCAAAAATCAACGTTGAAGCTTTATTCATCGATTCAGTCCATCCTGCATGTCCATTGGAACAAAGCACCACGTCTGATCCGCCGATAAGCTCGTGGCAGGAGTGGGGTAATAAGGGATCTACATACCCCATGCAGGAAGTTGCGGCAGAGCCTCATATGACCGGCTCACCTTGGCCCACCAAACTCTTTTCTCATTTGCCTTCGCCGCCCACGGTAGAAGTACTCGAGCATTCTTCTCCTCTCTTCCTGCGTGCTGCTTTCGACAAGCAAAGCAAACTCGACTGCATCGTCAAAGCCCATGCTCTCCGCCATGCTGCAGAACTGGCGTTTTCGCATGCTCTCGCTGGGCCTGTACCGGTAGTTGATCTTGAATTCGCCTGGAGTAGCATGTCCGATAGCCTCGTCATCGTCATTCTCGGCAATCTCATGTTCGTTTTCCGGTTCATCAAAAGGCCGCTGCGACTGGGATTGTGAGGCCTGGAACACGCGCTTGCTTGCTAGGTCGATGTCGTTGCGCAACTCGATAGCCTGTTTACCCAGACGAGCTTCTATCTCGCTGCGTCCAATGACCTCGGAGTTTTCGTGAGTGTACTGCACGCCTGCTTTGGCGAGGATAGCGTTGATCGGATCGGGCCCGTTCCGTGTAGTCTTCTTGCCACGCCTACTGCCGCCACTGGAAGCCGAAAGGAGAGAATCGGCAAACTTCTTTATTCCAGCGACGTTGGCGTCGTCCTCCAGGCCAAGATTCTTGTTTGACAAGATGTCCTCGTCTTCCGAGTCGAACTGCGATTCATCAACGTGAAAGTCGTAGGCATTGACACCGGCTTTGGATTCTGCGACGTTGGTCTTGTGCATGATGTCGCGAAGCAGTACATCGTTCTCTTGGAAAGTGAAGAGGTTTTCCAGACCAAACAGTTCGCCCTTTTTGCCGGACTCGTCCATTACACCCTTGAAATAGCGGCGCTCCTCCGAGGCATTGTAGCCGATATTCGCTTGTTGCTGCTTGTAGATTTGACGAGCATAGACGATTTCTTCAATGGTACCGCTCGATATCAAGCGGAATACCTCGACGTTCCGAGTCTGTCCAATCCGATACGCTCGATCCTGTGCTTGCAGGTCGTATGCAGGGTTCCAGTGGGGATCCATGACAACGACCTTATTCGCAGACGTGATGTTGAGTCCGACACCACCAGCTTTTGTGGATATGAGGAACACGAATTGATTCGGGTCGGCATTGAAGTCTGCAACAGCTTGAGAGCGCTCTTCGTACTTCATGCTGCCGTCCAGGTACGAGAAATTGTATTTCGTGTCATCGACATCGAACAGACCCCTCAGAAGCCGCAGCAGCCGGACTGAGTGCGAGAAGATGAGAACCTTGTCGCCATTGGAGTGCCAGAAGTCCAGCAGTCGTCTCAGCACCTTCCACTTTCCGCAAAACTCTCGTTGCGACTGCACCAGGATGTTGTCGCGGATCCGAAAGAGACTCTTGAATGTGTCGGGACACGCCAACTCCAGAGTCTGCAAGTCCTTGGCCTGTTTTTCCTGTGAGTCGGTCGATAGCGGTACAATGAGAGCAAGGTGGTTGGCAAGTTTTTGGAAAGTAACCATGCACGGGAAGATGAAGTTTGCCCATTTCTCGTCCTCACTTGGGACTTTGACGTTACAGCAATAGCCCCTGCCTTTGCCTGACCCACATTCACACTCTTGTCTTGCGGTGCGGATAAACTCGCATCTGTCACTCTCGAGAAACGTGCGGTACGCATCGGCTTGTGTTTGGGTGAGCTGGCAGAAGACGACGCGATCGCTCTTCTTGGGTAGTTGGTCAGCGATCAGAGTCTTCATTCGACGAAGAAATACGCTAGGCAAGATGTTCTGAACAAGATCCTGAGCCCTGCTTCGCGACTCGGCAAGCTGGGCGTTTGTAGCATCGTGAGCTTGCCCCAGTTTAAGTGGAAGACTAATCTTCTGCTTCCACTCTTGAGATGAGCCATATGCTCCAGGCCTGGCCCAATTCAGGAGGTTCCAAATCTCTTCATACTTGTTCTGGATGGCGGTACCAGTAAGACCGAAGCGGCAGAGCGCGTTGATCTTGTTCATGGCTTTTGTGATTTCTGCATTCTTACTCCTGATCTGATGGCACTCATCAGCAATCACACAGTCCCAATCGACAGTGTTGATCTCGCTCTCGTGGTTGCGATACGTCGTGTACGTTGTGGTCATGATCTCCAGCATCCCCTTTGCTGCTGCACCAAGAACGCCCTTTCGGTCTGCTACGTTGGAACCATGGTATCTGTAGACTTCCCACCAGCCCCACTTTGAAAGTTCGTCCTCCCAGTTTTGCATCAGCGTGCCTGGACATATGATGAGGACGCGAGGGTACCACCGGTCTTTGCCGAGGCGACGGATCTTGCGCATGCACTTGGCATCGCGCTCAGTGCCCGTCTTACCAAAAGCCGCGGTCAGGAATGCGATGACTTGGATTGTTTTCCCCAAGCCCATGTCATCGCCAAGAATAGCCCCTGTTTGTTTGACAAACTTCTGGTGCAGGAATTCGGCACCATCAACCTGGTAGTCACGGAGCCACTGGGCGATTGGACCGGGTATGACACCATGTGACTCGCGAAGCTTGATGTCTTTCTTTTCACGTTGCGGCTTGATCGCCTTGTCTAGCGTCGGCTTCTCCTTGGTGTCTGCATCGGAAAAGTCAATGTCTGTGTAGTCGGGAGGATACCGTAAGCCAGCTTCATGCAGCTTCTTGAGCGATTGCTGGCGCGAGATGAAGTAGTCTGGGATCGGATCGTCCAGATAAGCCGGAGTAGCCCCAGTATCATCAGTTGGGGAATCGGTGTTGAATCCTGTAGGCCCATCAACTTGCTGCTTCTTAGCTCGAGGCTTCCGGCCCACAATGCTTGCAGCAGCCACGGCCTTGGACTTCTTCTCAGCACGGATCCTGTTGGTTTCTGCAGCCACGCGTTTTCGTTTGAGGGTTTTGCGCTCTTTCCAGTTCTGGTAAGCGGCCCGGGTATCCTCTTCAGACCACTCAGACTCTGGGTCATCGTCGAGGATATCAGAGCCACTTGCGTTCCTGCTACTTGCACTCGGACGTATCTGGGGATCCCCGTCGTCTTCGGTGCTTGATTCCACCACATCTTGTGTGTTATGATCTACATCTGCATCTTGCGACTGGGTCTGCGTTTGCGTCAAAACTAGAAAACGTCAGCATTCTTGTCGTCATCTCAACATGTCTGTTCACTGACCGTCAATATACTGTGATATGTCCAAGTTCCTGCGCGATGTCTTGACAATGTCAAGTCCATCGTCATCCGTATCACTGCCATTGGTCTCGGCGACCGCTCTCAGTGCCTTTTGGTAATCCTTTGGCTTATCACGATTGGACGACATGCCTCGTATTGGCCGTGTTTGGTCGTGAAAGTAACCAGCAGAGGGCGCGACTGCAACATGTACGGGAACAGGTCGGAGAAACCGCGGTTTAGCGTCGCATGGCTGGGATAGTGCACGGGCATAGTTTGCGACGCCAGGCGACGGCGGCGCATCCAAGATGAAAGGAGCACCGCCGTCGTGCAGCAGACGCGCTAACGCGGTCTCACGTGAAAGCGGGGCCCCCGCCAGCCGCCGATCCCTGCAACTGACAAAATATCCGTTCGCAAGAGCTCGAGCTTCGGAGCCCGCATCATCGCGCGCAACGAGCCACGCCGTGACGTTTTCCACGCAACCACCCCGACCTGAGATTCGCAATTGACATATTACCGTCCGGCGAGATATACACCAGCGCCATCTAGCTTACAATAGCCCCTCTGCAATGCCTCTCGACACCAGCACATACTCGCTCGCGCTCCTGCGCCTCGATGGCCGCCGCTGGAACGAGCTGCGCCGCATCCACGCGCAGATATCGACGCAAGCCGCGGCGGACGGATCCTCGTATCTCGAAATGGGCAACACCAAGATTCTAGTCTCGGTCACGGGGCCCGCCGAAGGCAAGCAGAGCGGGCAGCGTGGCGGCAGCGACAAGCTGGCCAAGGTGGAAGTGGAGATTAATTTTGCGGGCTTCAGCGGCGTGGACAGGCGGAAGCGGAAGAGCGACAAGAGGACGAGCGAGATGGAGCATTGTCTGCGGTCGGCGTTTGAAGGCGTCTTGCTGCTGCATTTGTACCCGCATTCGACTATTACGCTCAATATTCACATCATCTCGCAGGATGGATCGCTGCTGGCGGCGTGCTTGAATGCGTCTACACTGGCGCTGATCGATGCGGGAATACCCATGACGGACTACCTTGTCGCATGCACGGCTGCGTCTTCTGCGTCTGCGTCGGCCGCTGACAATGCGTCTGCAGACGATCCGCTACTGGATCTGAATAACCAGGAAGAATTGGAGTTGCCGTTTTTGACTGTGGCGACATTGGGGGAGAGCGATGCTGTGGCTGTGTGTGTAATGGAGAGCAGGGTGAGGATGGAGCGGTTAGAGGGAATGCTGGCGGTGGGTATTGAAGGCTGCAAGAGGATGCGTGGTATACTGGATGGAGTGGTAAAGGGTTATGGAAAGCGATTTGGATGAGAGGGGTATGTGATATCATTACGACTCAACACGCATCAGGTGCCGCAGGCCACACTGTGCACTCAGGATGGAACGCTGGCGGGAGACTGCAGCGGCCATGAACCATACAACCACAGCGGTCGGTGCAGGGGGAGGATAGGCTGTGCCTGGGTTCTCACACGATTGCTCGACGATAGAGTGTCAAGGAATGAGGCTGAGTCAGGCTAGGAAGAAAAGAGGACTTTGGGCAGCGTCCAAAGTGTCTGAATGCAATCACGGCATCACCAATCCGCTTGCAAACTTGATTGAGTGGTGTCGACGCAAGAAGATTCATGTTGTGTTGAACAGATTCTAATGCAAACCCTACTTGAACTGTCCTCACTGATATGATAATAAAGCTGGCATGTTGAATGACGAGCTTGAGCTGTGCAATGGCGCTTAGCTGTGACGGCTTGAATCGGACGCCAACCACCGAGCCAGCCAGTTTGTGCAAGCACGTGATTACGCCCCTTCCTAGTTGCCAATTAGAAGCCATACGAAAGACAATGTCGGGAATGTCGAAAGGCGCCGGCCCATAATCCAATGGGGCACGGCTCCATTCAAGTTCTACTGCGCAAAGCAATTCCAAGTCTGCCTAGCGAAGAAAAGGCGCCCTGAAAAGACATCCCCACTGCGCCCAAAACGTCGTCGATCGATTCAGGCGCAGGGAAGAGTAGAACCAGGCGCCTAGTTTTCATTAAGAAGACTTGATGCTGCATTGAATAGCAGAGCCTGGAGACAGCCATGATAGGATCTAGATGTGTGCGCATTAGTGTGCAGAGGGTCGCTGCCCCTATTCAAGTTTGGAAGTGAAGGAATTGCAACGTTGCCGAGAGCAAGACGTGGTCGAAGAAACCGAGACGCTGCATGATAGTGTGAACGGCCTCGTCACCGGCGTCCTCGTGGACTGCTCCGATGATGGGTCCGAGGGCTGTGGCGACCATTTTTTGGAGATGGCAGAGACGTGCCATCGGCCCTGAGGATGAGCTGGTCGATTCCAGCGCTGTAGCCTCGCTGAGCGAGGGCATTGGTGGAGATGATGTCATTGCGCAACTGGGTCCATTGTGCTGGAGACAAGACACGGCCTGCCTGTCTTGTTGAGCAACGTATCCTACCAACAACAAGCTGGCTTCTTTGCCATGCGGCCCGCGATACTTGAACCATGCGCTGCAAAGTTGGCTTCCAAGGACCATTTCGCCTAGGACGAAGAGTCGCTTGTTGTTGTCCAGACTCGCAAAGTGATTGTTGTGTAGGCTGGCGATTTGCGGGGCAGCCATTTGCAGCGCCTCTGCAGCAAGGCGTTTATTGGAGAAAGTATAGTCGAGCAGGCGTTCAACTTGGGCGGCCTTGGCTTCGACGCACGGCAACATGGCTGTGGCTGTCTCGAGTAGGGGAATCTTGGGCCAGCGAGGCAGAACAGGTGTGACGACGGCGGGGTGTGGGATAAAGCATATATGCCGGTGAAGCATACTAGCGGCAAAGCATCTCTCCTTCTCTCTCTCTCTCTCTGCACATGTGCATGGAATTGGGTGGGCGTACCAAGGACATCGTTCGTGGCAAAAAGGTCTGGTCGGGGCGCAGGCACACGCGCGCAATGATCGCATCTGGATCGCAGCGTGCCGACTCCCGTTGGTGGTGAGGCGACTTGCACACTTGGCTAGCTGCAATCCACCTAGCGGCCTCGTACGTCATGGCAGGAATGCTCGTGAAAACCGGCCTCTGGCCTAGCAAGGCGCGCCAAGCCGCAATCCAGGTTAAGACAGTACAGGCCCAGAGCTGCTTGGGACATTTGCGACCTACGACATCGCCAGACTCCAGCCTAGGCGAAGCACTACCGCGCGGATCTGACGGAAAGACCAACCGCAAAGGCCCAAGCCGGTTGCCATGGCCGAACTCGTGGTACGCGGCCTGTCCTTTGTCTCTCCCTAGATATGTGTGTCGTGTGCTGATTTTTGACTTTTTTGCAAAATTGCAGGAGCTCGGATTTACGGGCCTGGACAAGTTCGCCGATCGGTACTGGGACCAGACTTACAATCATCTGCCAGCGCTACCACGGCCAGGCAACAAGAAGCGGCGGCGGCAGCAGCAGCAGCAGCAGCGGCAGCAACCAGGGCGAGAACTGCCACAGGGATACTCGGCGCGGCACCCTGACAAAGGATACCGCTCGTCTCGGTCGTCGTCAGAAGACGCATACGTGCGCGAATCGGAGGCGGCAATGCATGGGCCGGACGGACAGGACGACTACTACTACGACGACAACGACGACGACGACTACGCAAGGGGCCGAGGCTACTACGAGCGGGTAGACTACCGGGCGCCCGGGCCAGGGCTCAGAATTCCTCGTGAGCAGGCCGAGTGGGCTGGTCCGCGGAATGCGCAGGTGGCAGTGCGTCGTCTTTCCAGCCCGCCAGGGATCATATGGCAGAAGTGGAAGTGGCTGACTAAAGCAGGCACATGCACATGCACCGCCAGCCCAGACAGGCTACGCTCAACGGCGCCCGGCGCCGCAGCGAAGACGGTCGTCGTGGTCGCCGGCGCGCTCGGGGCGGCGGGGGCCACACGACGCACGACGGGCGCGCTCGCAGTCGCGCTCTCGTGCAGCGCCGTCGGAGGCGAAACAGCGCCTGGTGGCGACGCTGGGAGGGGCATTGGTGGGCGGGCGGGCTGGCGGGCAGCCAGGCCAGCAAAGGCACCAGGTACGACACGGCGGCGACGATTGCTGGGGCCATTATCGGAGGCGTTGGCGCCAGAGAGGCGTCAGACCACTGGGGCAAGGCGCGACATGGCAGGAAGAAGGAACAAGAGGAATACGGGAGGGAGGGCGAGCACGGAAACAGAGAGGGTCGCAGAAACGAGCCCTGGGGCCATGGGGCAGGCTACGGCCACGATGGGAGGCGGCACTGCTGAGGCGGCCGTGAATGAAACTGGCTGACATGGCAGAAAAGAGTGCTTGCTTGTTGCGGGAAGGGCGCGCCTGGTCTGCGACATGATCTGAGGCGGCCGAGGGGGGCTAGTGCGGTGCGTGTGGTGGTGGTGGTGGGGGTGTCGTTCGCAATTACAGGCGACGGCACGAAACAGGGTGGTGGTGGTAGTGGTGGTAGTGGCGGTGGTGGCGGGCAGCGGTGGACGTGTCGGTGACGGTGACGGTGACGGTGACGGTGACGGTGACGGTGACGGTGACGGTGACGGTGTCGGGTCGGTGTCGTGGGTGGCTGGTGCGTGGAGGTGGTGGTCTCGTGCCGGGCGTGGAGAAGGATGGCGGCAGGCGTGTAGGCGTATCGTAGACGGCGGCGATGGTGCATGTCTTGGACGTGTACTGTACTATGCTGCATGTGCATCTGCACCCATACTAGCTAGGGGCGAGCCTGTGCGCCGGGTTTCGAGAAGGCCCAGTGGAAGGTTAGGCCGCCGGACGCAGTGCAGCAAGCAGCGCGCGCGTTGCGGGACTAAGCCTCGTCCCGCAGTCCAATCCACCCAATCCACCATCTCTCCGAGCAGCACCACGACGCTTCCCCGTCCCTCGCTCTCACGCTCCCCACGCCTGCACCACCACCACCGCCGCCGCCACGACACGCCGCTGAAAATAGCCACCCCCCCCTCCTCCGCCTCCGCGGCCCTGCACCCTCACCCTCTCACCTTCACCCTCACCCGCTCCCGCCGCCTGCTCTGCCCCCTCCCCCGTGGCTGTCCCCGGGCTGGCGGTGAGGTCGAGCGCGGTGGACGAGGAGCGGTGCAATGGCGGGGCCGGGCTCAGCTCATGGTGGTGGTGGGCGACGATGGGGGAGTTTGCAGGGTGCTCGCGAGGGTTTGCGCAGCTCAATGGGCGGCGGTGTCTTGCACGGCGGGCGGACGATGCTGGGCGGTGGGCGGGAGCGTAATGGGCTTGCACGACGCCTGCCCCTCGCAAACACCCACCACCATCACCACCACCACCACCACCACCACCACCATTGCTGCTGCTGCTGCTACCACCGCTGCCACCACTATTACCACCACCACCACCACCACCACCACCATCACCACCATTGCCACCAAGACCGCCTCCATGCGCCGATACAGGCCCGGCGGCCCAGTGCGGGCTCATGGAGGCGTGCCCGTCCCCGACCCTTTCGCCATGGTCCGCGCCTACGACAGCGACTCCAATCCCGCCCGGCCCATACGCCCCTCGCCCCTCGCTGCCTCCACCATCCAGGGCCTGCCGCTCGACCTGCTCGACCGCCTGCGCTCCTTCCCGCTCTTCAAGGAAGCCCCCGACTCGTTCCTCACCCAGATCGGCCTGCACCTCAAGCCCCAGCTCATCCAGCCCCACGACACAATCCTCACCGAGGGCGAGACGGGCAAGGCCATGTACTGGCTGGTCCGCGGCGCCGTGCGCGTCACATCGCGCGACCAGGAGAGCACCTACGCCGAACTCAAGCCTGGTGCCTTTTTCGGCGAGATTGGCATTCTGATGGACATCCCCCGCACCGCCACCATCATTGCCAACATGCGCTCGCTGGTCGTGCGGCTGAACAAGGAGGACCTGACCAAGGAGCTGCCCAAGTTCCCCGACGTCGAAAAGGCCATCATGCACGAGGCCCAGGAGCGGCTAGCCATTCTGCAGCGCAAAAAGGCGGAGCTGGGGGCAAAGCGCCCGCTGCCCATGCGTCAGATCACGGGCAAGCGCGACCGCGACGACGGCGACGTGGTCATGGCAGAGACGGGCGTCCTGCGCGACGGCGAGGTCAACGCCTTCAAGAAGCGCAAGTCGCCCAGTCCCGGTCTCGCCGAGGCCATAGCCCACAGCGCCTTTGGCAGCGACAGCATCCACGTACGACCGCTGCTCAAGGAGCTGCCCCTCTTCTCCGAGCTGCCAGACGACATTCTGCACTTTATCGGCATGCGCGCCCAGCCCTGTTCCTTTGACCCCTTCACCGACATTATCAAGCAGGGCACCCAGGGCCGCGACGTCTTTTTCATCGTAAAGGGCGAGGTCGAGGTCATCAACATCAGCGGGCCCGAGCAGAATGGCCTCGCCTCACCTACCATGGGACGCCGAAAGTCCATCGCTGCGGGTGAGCACAATTTCCAGCAGGTAAAGGCCCGGTTAAAGCCAGGCCAGTACTTTGGCGAGGTGGTCAGTCTCTCGCTTGCGCCACGCCGCACCGCCACGGTCCGCTCCATATCCGCTGTCGAGTGTTTGATGATTACAGGCGACACCCTCAACCAGCTGTGGGAAAAGTGCACCCCGGATGTACGCCGCCAGGTCGAGCTGGTCGCCAAGGAGCGTCTGCAGGCGGCCAAAGACGAAGATGTCCACATGACCGACGTAAACGGCACACCCAACATTGACGACTTGGCCATTGTTGACCACTCACTACCCCGGACCCCCCGGCGAAAAAAGAGCGTGCCGACCGTTACCTTTAATGGCACAATGCACATGGACACGCCCGTGACGCCCGCCCGGAGAGACGAAAAGATGATGGAGCCTTTCGACCCGGACCCGTTCCTCAACGTCGACCTTGACAATGTCAGATCACGATCGCGCAGAGGCTCACTCGCCCCACCCCCACCAGGCTCAACGCCCGAGCCCCCCACAAGTCCAGGCAAAGGCGAGTTTCCAAAATCACCGTCGCCCAATGGAGCCGCTCTTTCGCCCTCGCCATCCTTCACAATAGCAAAACATGCATCAACGCCACCAGAAGTCCCATTCGACTTCAAGCGCCCGCGCCTGATAACGAAGCCCAGCATATACGTACGAGGCAGACTTCCCGACTCGGTACTGGTCAAAATATTGGCAAACATGGACATCCACGAGCTGATGAAGCTGCGCATCATCTCGTCACATTGGAGCAAGCTCATATCAGAATCTCCTGATATTCTACATGATCTCGACCTCACCAAGTACAACCGCAAAGTCACCGACCGCTCATTAGTCGACATAATATGTCCATTTGTAGGCAGCCGGCCACGGTCCGTCAACATTAGCAACTGCTTCCATGTCACAGACGAGGGTTTTGGCGAGTTGGCAAAGACATGCGGGCCCAGCGTGAGGATATGGCGTATGAAGAGCGTCTGGGACATTACCGGGCCCGCTGTGCTCGAGATGGTGCAAAAGGCCAAGGGCCTCGAGGAGGTAGACCTCAGCAACTGCAGAAAGGTTGGCGACAATCTCCTCGCCCGAGTCATTGGCTGGATTGTGCCTGATATGCCTCCCCAAATGGCCATGGCCCATGCCCAGCAGCAGGCCCAGATGAACGGCCGTCGACAAGCAAAGGGCGCCAATGGCCAAACACCGCAACCATTGCCACCTGGCACAGTCGTCGGCTGTCCAAAGCTCAAGCGACTAACCCTGAGTTACTGCAAACACATTACCGATCGCAGCATGGCACACATTGCTGTTCATGCAGCGAACCGCATCGAAAGCATTGACCTGACGCGATGTACCACCATTACAGACGTGGGCTTTCAGCACTGGAGCGTCTACCCCTTCCCTAGGCTCACTAAGCTGTGTCTCGCCGACTGCACATATCTCACAGACAACGCCATTGTGTATCTGACAAACGCAGCCATGGGGCTAAAGGAACTCGACTTGGTAAGTGAAGCCCCCAGACATTTACTTTTTTCCGGTCAAGACAGCAAAGAAAACATCAAGGCCACACACGAAGCTTGGTCAAACCAAAAGAAAATACTAACTCCAGCCACACAGTCTTTCTGCTGCGCCCTCTCGGACACTGCAACCGAAGTCCTTGCCCTTGGTCTGCCCTCGCTTACCCACCTCAACCTCGCCTTTTGCGGCTCCGCCGTTTCAGATACTTCGCTACGCTGCATCTCATTACACCTTCTCGAACTACGCAACCTATCTGTGCGCGGCTGTGTACGTGTCACGGGCACGGGCGTCGAAGCCGTCGTCGAAGGATGCCGCGATCTCGAGCGCTTCGACGTCAGCCAGTGCAAGAATCTCGGGCGTTGGCTCGAAGCCGGCGGTGTACAAAGCGTGCGGAATCGAGGACGCAACGTCCATTTTGTCTGTGTAAGCGACGGTAGGTGGAGAGATTCAATGGCGAGATGTTAGAAACCGCGCGTTTTATTATTATGATTATTATTATTATTATTTTGCAAAAGAAGCCACCACCATATGACGGAAAAGAAAGAAGAATGAAAGAGAGAGAGAGAGAGAGAGACAGAGAGAGAAAAGAGACTACGATTTACATATACTACCACTACAGTCTTTTTTGGACGTTTGTTCACGCGATGCGCCCCATGATTATATATGGAGTTTTTGTTGTTCCTGTTGTTGTTTTAGATGTCGGGATGGGTGAACAACTGTTGTTGTTGGATAGAGAGAGAGAGAGAGAGAATCTGTATACACTATACTGTACTTCACTGTATTGTATGGTTCTTTTTTGGTCTTATCCCTCTTCTTCTTCTTTTTTTTGGGTCTCTTTTCCTTTCTTTCCTTTTCTTTGCGGAAGACAACTCGCAGACGGATGGATGGACGGATGGACAGATGGACGGATGGATGGATGGATGGATGGATGGACGGATGGATGGATGGATGGATGGATGGATGGACGGATGGATGGATGGACAGATGAATGGGAGCACACGCAAACTGATGGGCGGCCGAGAATAACGTCACGATATCACACGCATATATTCTTCCTATCTTCTTCTTCTTCTTCTTTTTGGGTCTGGGCTTTGGCTTTGGGTTTGGATAGACTGCTGCTGGGAGACTATATAGGCAAAACTGGGTCGCGCAAATGGTATAGACTGTGTTTGCTGTTTTTTTTTTGTTCTTTTTATGTTGTATGAAAGACTGATGATGGTTTGGTTTGCTATCACTACTACTACTACTACTACTACTACTACTACTACTACTACGATGGTTCGTCTTGAGATTGATAATTTGATTTCAGGTCTTGTGTTGTGTGGTCTTGTCTTGTGTGTTTTTGCTTGGTGTCAAAGTTATCGAGATTGCATGTATACATCACGTCACATATAAATGTATGTATGTATACATGGTCTTTTTATCGTGGTCTTTGTTTGCAGTCTTACTGTGGGGAATTGGTGAGAATAAGGGGGGGGGGGAGGGAGAGGGCAAAAGAGATGTTGTGGGTGAAACAATATACGAAGTAGATGAAAAGGGGGTTTTCCAACAACAAAAGTCTAATTTTGAAATTCTCAAAAAAAAGTACATAGATAATTAACACGTAAACCATATAAACCCAGTCATAACCATAATCAACCATCCCACCTCTCCAATCCCATCTTCCTCTTCTTGTTTGCCCGCCTCTTTACCCTTCTTCCTCTTGATGATGTCTTCTTCATACCGCCTCACCTCGTCACACCTCCACACGACGCCGCCAATAACGCGCTCCAAGCCCTCGCGCCACACGCGCGCCACGTGCTTCGGCAGTGGCACTTTGTCTCCGCCCGCAACAAGCTTTACGTGCTCTGGCTCGTTTTTATCCCAGAGCACCGAGCACAGTACTGCGTCTTCTTCTTCTTCTGCTGCGCGGACGGCATACCGGTCTTGCCACTCGCACTGCATGGTCCAGATATACACTGCGAGTTCGAGCTGGAGGTCGTGCAGGGTGATTGTGCGCGGCGTATCTGTATGTGGGATTGTGCGTGAAAAGTACAGGGTTATTATGTCGAGGAAGAATTGTAGTGCGTCGAGGATTTCCTCGTCGGTTTGCGCAGGGAGATGCGTGGATTGCGTTAGCGTGTCCAGCGTGTGGTTGGTGAGCTGCGTGAAGATGTGCTCGAGGAGTTGCTGTATTTCGGGCCGGTGCAGCGTGAGGAGTGTAGCTGGTGGTGTGGATACCACGAGTGCGTGTGTGGATGCTCTATCGAGCGATGCTGGGATTTTCAGTGGCGGACGACTGGTACTTTGTTGTTGTTTTTGTTGTTGTTCTGGCAAAGGGGTTGGAAGTGGAGTAGGTATCGACATGCAGATACATGGGGCCATTTCGGGGTCTTTGACCCGCAGCTTGGTGCATATCGCTGTGGTGCAGTGGTATATACAGTGTGAAGGTGAGCAAGGGAGCGGGTCCTGTGGATATGTATATTGAAATGTGGGGAATGGCTCGCTGTTGATGTCTTCGTTCATACCGCTGAAAAAAGGGGAGGGCGGCGCAGCAGGAAGATTGAGATTTGCGCGCTGTGTAGAAATGCGAAGAGGCCGAATGCGGCGTTGCGTCGCTGTGCATGTTGGCGATTCGAAATCAAAAGCTGAGTATCTCATGGCTGCTTGTGAGCGCCGAGGTTGGAAGGATCCGTCGGATTCGAGGCTGGAGATGAGGAAAGGGGGGCGGGGGGTTGAGTGGCATTTGTAATGTGAGTGTGAAGAAGCATTGTGTGGGGATTGCGAGTGTGAATGAACTATGGTTGGGATTCTGAGGGCATTGGTGGTTGGATTTACGGGGATTTCTCGTCTGAACAATGTATCAAGTCAACCGGGGTTGAATCACTTGCTTGAGGCAAAGAGTTGGGGTTCACAGTGTAGTTGGTTGTCTTCACTTTCCATTCAATTCTAGTATGTTCTGTACCATGTATACCCAGTATTCACAATGAGAGAGTCAGTGGAAGGTGGCCATACGCCATCTCGTCAGTCTACTCGCCATCCTCTTCGTCATGTCCCTCCCAATCATCCCGTCTACTCCACCAAACCAGCACACTCACCACCAACTCGACAACGTCCTCCAACCTCCCAGCAAGAGCCTGAACACCGCTCCGATGCCTACCCCCAATCCACTGACACCTCGCCAAGCCGAAGCCCCGGCGTAGATTCTGTTCCCGGCTACGTTTCTGCCCCGAATGTCTGAATCTGTCCTTGAACACCCATCTGGATAGCCACCAGAACGCCTCTACGCGCATGGCGTCTTTCAGCATGCGTTCCAGTTCCGCAATCTCAAACGAGTGCGTGTACCCGTCAAAATGATACAGCATGTTGTCGAGCAGGAACAGGATTTTGCCCGCGAGCCGGCTCCCGGAAAGCGCCATGGCCCAGTGGTAATCGCGGTTGATGAAGGGAGACGTGCTCAAAAGGTAGTCGTGCCAGTATTGCATGTCGAGCTGCAGAACACCGATGTTGTGCATTCTTTGTACGATTTCACAGCACGACTCCAGGTCGATGGTGATGGGTCTGGCTTTGTCGGTGCCCATGTAGGCAGATTGAGCGGCGTTGACGTCTTCTTCGGTTATGCGGGCTATCCTTTCTCGATTCACCGGGGCTTTCTTGGGGGGTGAAGCAGTGCTGCAGTTGCAGGTTTTCGCTAGGCTTTTGCTTGCTTTGTTGTAGCGGATGAATTTGTAGCAGAGGGTGTGCTCGCAATGTATGATGCAGGCGCAGTGGTTCAGGTCTAAATTGGCTGGGGAGACATGGTCATTCCACTGCTTCCATTCTTCCCATTCTTCTTCGTCTTCTTCATATGCTGGAAATGCTTCCATCCGTTCTGATGGTAGTGAGAGGTTGGACGGGCTTGGTGATGGACTTTCAAGTGTAAGACCTCCCAAGGCTTCGTCAAGGGGAATCTGCTGAGTTTTGGCGGCCATTGTTGAAGCTGAGATGTCTGTTGGTACTAGAGGGTAGCTGTTGGTCGTATCGTATATCTTGTATTGTTCTGAGAAGTGTCTTGTGTCTTGCAGTAAGCTGTAGAAAGTTGGAAGATGGGCTGTGGAAAACTACACTCAGAAAAGAACGCACTACAGAGCGATCTTTATATTTCTCGATACAACAGAATACGCGAGAAATAATGCAAGCAAGAGACTGCGCTATCGCATGAAGGCATTTTACGCCCAACTCGACGTGACCCACGGTAGTGCATCCATCATAGCCTGGACAGCCAATTAGGCTCTGCCTAACCCTGAAATTGTGAGTAAGCCCTCTGAGAATTTGTCCGCAGAATCAAAAAGATTGGATAGAGGTGGGTTATGACAAGTCGCATGAACTGCTAGGTTCTATTTTTCGCTAGATCTCATTTTAGACAAGCCAGTCAAACGTACCTCATATCGTTGGCTGACAGCGTTTGAGAGCCAAGGGCGGCGCACGAGGCACCTGTTACATTTCCTCGCCTCTTCATTCGCCATAAATTCTTATGGTCATCGAGCAAGTCGCCGTATGTTGGGATCCTCTAGTAATTCTTACTTTTCAAGCAATGCAAGGCTTCTGAGAGCCCAGTAAAGTCTATGGAGACTAAGCTTGATAGTTGATTGATGTAGACTACTGTAGTGAGTGGTCAGATTCATGATATGGAGAGTAATAATATTCACCCCCATTCGAAATAGCAACTTGTCTAGACCAAATTGGTCTCGAAGACGTTCCGTGTAATGGGAAGCACCCAACTAGGAAAAGATGGTTAGACTCGCTTGCAGGAGGGAGAATCCCTGCACCCGATGACGCAACGCGCTGCGGCCCCACCCCACCACGCAGCGATCCCGACCTCCAACATGGATAAGGGATAAGCTGGTCATGGTGCCTGCATTCTAGAAAAATAACCCCGCATCTACTCTGACGATTACTCTCCCTTCATACAGATGGCGTTGCCCCTCGGCATATTCCTCGGCGGCTGCGTCGTCGCGATTCCCGTAGTCACGGGCGTGGCCCAGGGCGTCGAGCACCAGAAGAAGCAAAACGAAGAAGCGGCCAACGAGTCGCGCATGTGGAAATTCAACTGCCTGGTCTCATGCGACGATTCGGATCCCATAGCGAGAGAGGAGGTAGACAACGGCATTCTTGTTGTGCGCCACGACAAAGTTTGGGTGGTGCCGCGGGACAGCGACAACAAGCCCTTGTGGCCAGAGGGCGTAGACGGCGAAGGCAGAGAGCCACTTCATGCTTTTGCGGGCTTCTACATTGCATATCCGGATGAGGAACGGAATCCACCACAGAGGGGATTGGTGAGCACCATCAGCGACGACCCGCCCATGCTGAACTGGATATACTGCGACAAAGATACGTACGAGCTGCGGTATTCGAATCGTACTGGAAGTATCATGCATCATATTGGTGTATGGGACTGGTCCGAGGACGAGAGCCATCTCGTTTTTGATGGCTGGGAAGGCTTTGTTGCGATTGATGAATGGGATGGTGCCGATGAAGACCATTCAACGCCTTGGGGACGCGAAGGCCTCCGCTGGGCCGTGTACTTTGACAAAGACGACAACGGGCTGAGAGGCAAAAGCAAAGGAAGAGACATGTTTGAGATTAGCCTCAAGAGGAGGATACAGAGTGCGGAAGAGCAGCTCAAGCAGAACGAAGCGGCAGAAAAAAAGATGCAGGTCAAGAGTAGGGGAGGACTCAGCACGCAGTTTGCGGCGCCGCAGAAAGAGAGAGATAAGGAGTGGGAGAAGAAATTCGGAGAGAAGGCGAGGCAAGAGCTTGAAAGAAAGTTGGCGAGAGATAGAGAAGAGGGAGAAGGACCCGAATGGGCGAGAGGCGATGTTGGTCAACAAGTCAGCTGAGAAGGGACATGTCATTGTGAAAATACAGCCCGGAAATGGTGTTTTTGTAAAAAACCCAATTTTTGCTGCAGACCAGTATCATGTTTCTGCTATTCTGGCAATATCGGAACGATGGCCTGCCCAGCCGAAATCATCGTGTCCAAATAGGACGTGGTACGTCTCGTTGTGGCCGTAACGTAGCCGTATTTTTGGTGTTGAGTATGGCCGTACTACGGCTACGGTTGGAGTACAGCCTGCCATCCTTTCCAGAACATTTGTACTTTGAGGATATTCTTGAATCCGACAAACATGCAGATCTGTAGCTATGATCTCCCTGCTATCTTCCATGTATTATCATCATTAGAAGAGTTGTGTCGCACTCTATTCATCTCAAAGCAAATAGGCTGAAATGCACGTTCTGTGCACTGCAAGTACACATTGGATGATGCAATCTCAGCACAATTGTTGGGATATTGCTATCGCTCAGCGTCATAGCAAGGTTGTGTTAATGAGTAGCTCGTCGGATTTGTTATTTGACTATATTATGATAGAATCGCTACAGCTAACATTTGCATGCAAATACCTAATGCTTCATATACAAGAAAACGCTGAAATCCAAAACAAGGAAAACCAGTAACTACAATTAACGAGAAATCTGCAGTAAAGGCTCAAAATGCCGCATATGCCACGTCTACGCAGCAGGTTTCCTCGACTCAAGTTTCCTAGGCGCCCTTTTTGCTGCGGGGGCAGACGCTTGGCTAGCACCGCCGTTCTTGGAGGCGTTGGGAGTCGGTTGATTCAGCTTTCTTGGCTTTCTCCTCTGCCCGTTGGTAGAAGCCGGGGGGGTGCTTTCCGTGTTATCGCTAAAGGAGACTCGCTTGGGCTGGCCATTCAGTGCTGGTCGAGATTGGGTTGCTGACTTAGACTTTGGGGGCGAAGACTTGGGTTGAGTGCTTGTTGAAGTTTTAGTTGTGGATTGTTGAAGCTTTGGTGTTTGCTTTTGATGGTTTGATTGGGGCTTGCCGTTCGCAGTCGATGTCTGGGGTTGCGATGCTGGCTGGGGGTTCGCTGGTGTCCTTGTTGTCGCTGGCCTTTGGGAACGGGGCTTAGCGGGCTTAGATTCTTCTTTGGTGTCAGCTTTGGATGGCGGGGCACTCTGCTGGGTACTCTGTTTCGATGGCTGTCTGCTGGGAGGCTTTGGCCGCTGGTTCTGTACTTGGGAAGACTGCTGGGTTTGCTGCTGAGCCTGTGGTTGAGGTGGTGCTTGCTGGTTCTGGCTCTTCTTCTGTTGCTGAGGCTGGGGTGGAGTTTGCTGCTTCTGTTGCTGACCTCCGTTTTGTCCTCCCCATGGGTTCATCGAAGCACCTATTCCTCCAAGTCCCATCGCACCTCCTACACCCTTCGCAGAGGGCATGCTTGGCATGCTAGGCATTTTCGGTCTCCAGCTCGTCATATCGCCAATCGACTGCGACCAAGTCTGTGGTATCTGGTCCGGCGCGTCGTTCTTCATCTGCTCGAGCTCTTCTTCAGTGGGCGCCTGTGTGTCCTTCATCTGCATGACCATTTTCTCCAGGGCCTTCTTCTGCGAAGGGGTACATTTGATATCGGGGAGAAAGTCTCCAATCACACCCTGAACTCCATGACTCGCCATCTCTCCGAGATCCCAGAACGGCCCAGACATTGCGCCATACACTGAACCAATACCACCTCCCACGAGACCAGTTACGGTGGACACGACACCCCCAACCAGCGCACCGGTCAGTTTTCCAATAGTAACACCCGGTTGTACACCCAGTCCGGCTCCAGCAGCAAGACCCTGGAATGCACCCGACTGTGTATATTTGGCGGCTTTGCCGAAGCTCTCCGCCTCAATTTCCTTGTTGATAACTTTTGCCAGAATCTCCTCTCGTGCTTTCGCATTGCCCGCGCCGTGTGCTGCTTGCCTTAGCTCCCATGCTTTCTGGCCTGCTTGAAGAGCCATGCTGGCCGACACCCCCGCATTCTGCTTGATGTCATGCTCGGATATGCCGCTGTTGGCTGCACCCTGGCTCGATGGCTTCGCCGCCTGGGGCTGCGACTCTTGCTGAGCTTTCTTTGGCGGCATTTTGTTGTTTGTAAGGGTTGTGGATTGTGGATGCTATCAAGGGTCCAGAAACTGGCTGATGGTTTGTAGGCCTACATTAGGGTGGCACCGCAAGTACGGAAGCGCTACGTCATCCAAAACCGTCGAGATCATCCGTGTTGCGCGCATGTGGCCAATTGACAACCTGTTTTTGTTACAATGTACTGCACGTCGTCGACACGGCTTGTAGGGATGATCCTCTTTAGTTTGACGAGACCGGAGCAACGCCGCACTGCGTTGATTCGTCGTTACACTGGCCTGTCATGACGTCGGTGGATTGGCAGTGTCTTCCGTCCTGGCCTGGCGTACATCACAGCTGCTAGTCACCCTTATGAAGTAGCTAGACCCTGCATTTTCATATGGGATATTATAAGACACTACGTATCTCCAACATGAATACTGGTTTTGGATCGTCCCTCACGTTGACAAGATTGCGATGGAGATTTCATCGACGCCACATATCGTCAGCGGTTTGAGCGCGAAATTAAACATATAATTAATTTTGTCCGATTGAAGATATCCTGCTGATCGGCTTACATACATAGCCAGTACTTTTGTTCAGATTACGCCTTCTCCGTCGCCTCCACAGTCGTATCAGCCCCCTTACCACCTCTCAACTCCTTGTTTGTTGCCTGAATCAAAACTCTTCGGTAGCTTGTCAGGTTGGGCGTTCCGTCATTAGTGACTTCGAGTATGAGATGCAGCAACTGTCCCTGAGCAACGGGTTGTTTGCTCATCAGCTCTACAGCGCACTTCTCTGGTGGTGGAAGCGTAACTTGGACCTTTCTTCCTTCATCGTCTAGCTTCTTAATGGCCAATTCTGCTACTTCCATGTCTACCCACGACTGTGTGACTGTAGGTTCGCGGTAGTGCCACCATTTGAAGGTTAGCATACCGCCGTTTGGATCGTACGTCGCAGAGGCATCGAGCGTAACAGTAGATCCAGCTTCCGCAGTGACCTGGGCTGGGGCAAGACCCTTGAAGCCACTGATGTTAATGACGGGATGATGGTTTGCTTTTGCAAAATCGGACTCCATGGTCCATTTGATGCGGGCAGCAAAGTCATTCTGGAAGGCATCGCGCCAGCGCCAGATAGTCGCATGGTTGGATGTATAAGTCCTACCGCCGACCGTGACTCGGTCCACTGCATCGCTGTAGTGGTTGCTATTGGCCCCCTCAATGCTGATGTCTGTGCGACCATATCTCCCACCCCAGGAGCCGTAGTTGGGACAGTCAGGGACACCCAGGCCGTTTTGAATGAGGTACAGAAATGTGGGTGTGTCGCCCTCAGCAATGTAAAGATAATCAGGATATGCGCTTCCCAGAGGACCTATTTGGATGTTCTGCTTGATCCAGCTCTTTTCCATTTTCGTAAAGTCGGGACCGCCTTGGTCGAAGCCGTAGAATTTGTCGCCAGAAATGCCTGTCCATGCTGCCAGGGCGTACTGGTTCCAGCCATGGACCGAGGCAATGTAGAATATATCAGGGAAGTTGTTGCGGATCCAAGCTCCCGTGTCGTCTTGGTCAGAAATGGCGTAGACTCGCAGGCGCGAAAGGAGCCGTTTGGAATCTTCCGGATCGTAGTCATCATCCACCTTCAGGAGCGCCTGAGCAAGCGTGTTGGTTCCGCCCCAGCAAAGAATCCATAGCGGCTGTGTTGAGGGTGCGACAATCCTGTCGTACAAGAGTTGTCCACCCTCAGATAGCGGGGTTCCCGTACCAACAGCAGACATGCCATATGTCTATATTGCAATTAGCATGAGCCACACCGGATGCGTCACATGATCTGTGTCAATTATGAACCCACCTCAGCGCCTTTTCTGACGAGACCACGCAAATGATGCGCAGCCGGGTACTGCCACTTGGGGTGGACATGTTTGTTCAGATTATCCACGGCACCTGCGTAGGCATCGATGATCTTTTCCATATCCTGTGGGCACACCTTGTTCTTCATCCACGTGCTGGTGCATGCTATCAGGCCTTCAGTCTCAAACTGATTCGAGTAGAGAAGATATCGACACAGCGATTCGGCATCATCGGGCTCATTGGAGATGTCAGACAAGATGATGACGCGGGGCTTCTGCTCGTAAGTTTGGAGCCGTTCAGTTGCCATGCTGAAAGATGCGGCGGAATACGACAAGAAAAGCGAAGTTTGAAGGACCAAGGGGCCAGGAGGGTGTTTGAGGGTCGTTCTCTGCTGCTGATAGATGTGCTACATATTCTGTCTCGCAGGTGGGGCGTTGAGCAACCAATGCGCCGTCTAGACTCACCCCGCCTGCACTTGGCGATGTAGGTACAGGGACATAAGTACCGGGCACTACGGTGCCGCATGCTTGATTGCCACTACTAGTAGTACCAATTCCCCATCCCCGCCCTCGAGAGATGCACCAAGACGCCTTATTTTCTCTTCCAAGTGCAACTAAGATCAGGACAGCCCCTTAGCATTCATGTTCGTGCTCGATCCCGCGGGGGCTTAGCCGACTGCGCCCCAACTAGGCCGCATTGAGCCACAGATCAGCTCCGTGCAGGCCAAAAACATGACGTATGGGCCATCCAGCCCCCACACTCCAACACCAACGAGGCAGACACAATATCACAGAGTACCGTTCGATTTTTTAGGCATCCAGTATATCATGTCATAGGCGTATTGCGGTGCCGCAGTACCGGCTGCCAAGCCATTCTCACCTAGCTTCATGATGGATATAAAATACAGGCTATGTCGAGGCTACTATGACTCGCCTTACGCTCCCACTCACGAATCCAATACAGAAAGGTATACACCAGGTACATCATAATGTCTAGCATATACCAGAAGATCCAGCAAGCGGCGCATCGGAACGAGCAGCTGCTTCGCGGCCTCGAGGAAACAGACGCTGCCCCTTCACAGCTCCGGCAACAGAACGCCTACCTCGACGATCTCGAAGTCCAAATCGGCAATACCATGAAGCGCGTGGACCACCTGAAGAGGAAAACAGCAATCGAGCTCAAGGAGCATGAGAAATACCGGGATTCGAATTTTCGGCGCTTCGCCCACAAGGCCAGCGGCAAGAAGGAGCGGTTCGCCGAGAAGGCCGCCAAAGAAGAGAAGGAGTACTTTGATGCGATACAGCAGCAGAAGAGCGCAGAGGACGAACTAGCCTACACCAGACAACTTCTCCACGAAGCCGAAGCGCGCAAGAGCGACCTCCAGTCCCAAGTCAAACGTCACGAGAGCCTGCAAGCCGAACTCGACGCCCTTTACAACACCATCTTTGCCGGTTGCATTCCCGAGTTTCCAGACGAGTACCAGAAAGAAGAAGCCTGCAGCACCGCCCACAACCACGTGCAAAAAATCACTCAGAAACTCGAGCACGAACGCCACGTTCTCTTCCTGCTCGGCCAAGTCGCGGTCAAGCTCTCCACAGCTCGTAATGCGCTTGATTGCGCATACGGTATGAGCCAATGGGACATGTTCGGTGGCGGTACAATGGCCAGCATGCAGAAGCGCAACCACCTCGAAAGAGCCGAGAGCGTGATCCAACAAGTGCGCATGCTGCAACAGCAACTCAAGCAGGTTGCGCCCGAGATCCCGGACATGGGACAGCTGCAAATCGCCCTGGGAAGCATCTGGACCGACGTTGTCTTCGACAACATCTTCACCGACATGGACATGCACGACCAAATCAAGCAATCCATGATGCAGGTTGTCCATGCAGGCAGCAAGTGCAGCAGCATCATCCGGCAACGCGAGCAGCTGGAAAAGAGTCTTCGGCAAGAATTGAACCGAGCAAAGACGCAGCTCCAGCATGCCCGCCAAGAACTACAACACGCACGTGAGGAAGCTTTTCGAAGAGTCCTTGAGGATGCCCAGCGGGAAACATCAGCACCGGCACTTGGCGGCACACCAGCAAGTGCCAATTGTAAGCCTCAGCCGCCCGAATACACCTTCTCAGACGGCCCACCGCCCGGGTATCTGGATTAACTTTACGGGGACTTTTTTTTCTTCTCCTTCTAGAACGGCGACCAACTATTCCACACTACCAACCTATACGAAGCTGTACAAACCATGCATTTCTAGCCTCGATGTATTTGTAAGCCATGTACATTAGTTAACTACTACACTACTACTACTTATTACCACAACATGCTATACAACCGAGCCCATGGACGGGCCATGTAGCGATCGCAGTGTTTCCACATAGCTACTAAAATATACCGTAAAATCTTACACCCTAGTCTCACCCCCACCCCCATCTTGTGACGTTTGTAGTAGGCGTCGAATTTCGTATTCGCCTATCTTGCGCCTTTGGATATTTGCCTCTCGAAACCTGGTCCCCTCCCCCTTCCCCCCTTCAGACATAGACGGTTGCATCATCACGTACCCCCGGTCTCCTACCAAGACTCCCACTCTTTTCGGCGGTTTACTCGGGCTTATCAGATAGGCCAGACAGACGCTGCGTTTATGCTAAGCCGGTAGCCACGGACGACATGGTAAAACGCCGGTGCGTGGGAAAGGAAATCCTTCGAATGCTAGGACTAGCATGGGAAATAAGTAGTAATTATGACAGATTCATGTGCAGTGACATGGCACAAGAGCCAAGTGGGGAAATGAAGGAGCGGGTGGATTAGCAAGGGGGGGTGGGTGGAAGGTTTATTATGGGGCCAAAGGATGAAGTACATAGGCTTGCTAAATGAATTAGGGCTAATTTCTTTTTCCCTTCTTTTATCGCATGAAACTAATTTGGGTTTGGAGGGTGGACTATATATGCATTACTATGTACAAGAATAATTAAAAAAAAAGGCTAGGATACGTTTAGATAAAGGATGCTTGGAGGTGGGTTTGGAAGTTGCTGTCTCTGAAGGTAGGTGTGGCGGCGCCAAAGTCCGTGTACTCGATTGCATTTCGTGCTGCGGCCGTCATGCTCTCCCATGCAACCAGGGGCTGCTGTCCGCCAAGCGTGTTGGTAGCCTCGAGCGAGTGGTTGACAGGCCAGATGGACTGGTAGCCAACCTTGGGGTGGGTGCCCTCCAGTGGGGGCGAAGAAGACTTTGTATAACCGCCGTGTCCAGAGTAGGTAACGCCGCGGACGGTAGCGTCGAGGGACTGGGATGAGATCCATATGACTATCTGCTCCTACTCGTGGCGGTGACCAAGGCCTGTCGAAGGCGAGTCCTTGGGCATGTACCAAGCGTACATGATGCCGAAAGCGCCGTTGTAAGGTCCGGCGCGGGCGTAGACTTGGCCGAGGTCGCTGCGGCAGCCACTAGTGTCACTACCAGATGGTTTGAGTCCGCCGCTACAGATGAATATTAGCAAGTGCAGAATTTAAGGTTCTAGTAGAATACGAACCTCGTGTTACCCTGCGCATCGACGGCAGGGAAAGGAACACAGCCATTGAAGACCTTCAAGTAAGGCTTGTACTTGAGCATGAGCTGCCCGACGAGGCCGGCCGGGACGGTCTCAGGAAAGCCCACTACCTTATCGTGGTCGATGACATCGCGGCTACCGAGGCTGACGGGAGATGCGAGGACAACGCTGGCGGCTGCGAGGAGTTGGATGGATAGGCTCCGAAGGCTGATCATTTTGGCTCTTGTTGTGATATACCCAGAGGCAGGGAAAGGTACCGCAGGATATTGTAGAGTTGGTTGCCAAAGAGCGAGTGTCACAAAGCGGTCGAAGGCTCCTGGTGTGCAATGGACTGTAGCCACGGACAGCACGGTAACTTATAGTGATGACTCGGTGCTATTCTGGTGCATATCTCCCGCTCGTCAGGGTGGAGAGGACTATGTGGTCGTTATTTTAGGCAATGGTCTCTCTCGTTCAGGCAGTCCTTGAAGTTAGCGCTTCACGTGGCCCGGATAATGAGAGTGCACATGGCTCCATGTGCGGGCATCCATTGGCCGTTAGTTTCGTGAAACAGGGTGCATAACGTTGATATTGGCGTTGCTAGCGGAATTCCTGCCTGGTCATGGGCGTGCGGGGCATGCGGCGATTCAAGCTATGGAATATGTGCATGCATGAGTACGCTCGGAGGAGAGGTCTGTTCAGGGCAACTAGTAATGCCGATCGAGTATGGCGGAATAAAGGACAGTTGGCAGGCCGACGATCAGAAAGCATGTACGTGCATGGGGGTGTCGAACAACTGGTCTGTGAGGCACGGCTGTATTAGGCAGGTACAGGGGGGAGACGGATGTAGCGCTGCAACAGAGCAAAGAAGCTGGCACGGCCGACTTGTTGATATATGAAGACATGTGACGGGTGGATATGCCAAGCCGCTGAAGGATTGGGACGTACCTGCAGACCCAGGCGCATGGCATGGATGATATGATATCTCGGGTATCGGGGCGTGGTAGCATTTCATGCCCTGTGCCCGCAACACATGCACGACTCAGCCACGCAGCCACTCTTATCCAAACTGCCTCCAGATCGTGCGGCGCTCCTCGACGGGTGGTGTCTTCGGCCCGGGCAGTAGCTCACGGAGCAAATCGTTGATATCGAGCCCGCGTTCCATGCAGTCGTGCCACTGCCTGGGGTAGCCCAGGCTCACTTCCTCGAACCGCGTGTTGTCTCTCCAGTCTGTCCTCCTGATATGCAGGTGCCCGGAAACGACGACTTTTGCATTGTACTTGTTATGCCAATCTTCCGTCCTCTTGGTGCCGCACCAGAGGGAAAACCGCGGCACCCTGACCAGCCTTACCAGGTCTTCTCGCAGTGGCCAGTGCCCGGCAATTACCAGTGGCGTATCTGGGTGCGCAGCCACGGCGGCGGCAAGCCTCTTCTCCGTCTTATCGACAAGGGCATTGCACCATTCGATACGTGACGAGTAGGGATCCGGATGCAGCAGATGCTCGTCGGTCGCTTCAATGTCCATCTCTCTTGCCCAGGCGAGCGCGTTCTCCAGCTTTACATCGTCTGGCCGGAAGCTGTAGTCGTACAGCGTAAAGATGGGCGCAATCAAGCAAGGCCCTCCCTCACCTTCCCACAGCGTATACTCGTCCTCGGGCGTAATGACGCCGAATTTGCGCGCGATTTCTACGCACTGCATGTACTTGGCCTCGCCTCTCGCGCCTTTCTCTTTCTCCGACGGCATCGTGTAGAGCTCGTGGTTGCCAGGAACCCAAAAGACGTCCTTGAAGCATTCCTTGACCTTGGTAAAGGCCATGCGACAGTGCTCGGCCGTCTCCCCCACGTCTCCACAGAGTATCAGGTCATCGTGAGGATGGGGAATGAGCTTTTCCAGCGCCTCGCGGTTGCCTTTGAACGAGAGGTGAATGTCGCTGATGCCCCATAGGCGGCTTGGTGGGGGTGTTTCGGCTGATGGAGGGGTACTGGGCGACGCTGATGTCGTGTCTGCGGCTGCGGCTACGGCTTCTGCAACGAGAGGGTCCATTGTTGGTGATGTGATTGGAGTGAGGATGCCGATTGAGACTCGAAAAGTTCTGGACCCTTGATGTACTCGATTTCGGCTTTGTTTTGTCGGCAAAGCATCATTATGTCATGTGCTATCTCAGCAACGCGTATCGGCCGTCGCGAGGAGCTTCGCATTTGGGCCATTCCCCGCACCGACCAATTAAGCCGATAAACTCATATTCCCCGAGCCCCGAGGACCTCATCACACCAGCGCCACACGAGCTGGCACCGCCTCGGAACCGGCTCCCCAATTCCGCAACTACATGTCCTAGACCGCCAGTATCAGTAGCAGAGTTTACGGCAGGATGTCTTGTTGGAGAAGGATTACATGTTGAATCGTGATAATACATCGAAGCATCGCATAAGGAAACTGTAAAGTTTGTTCTTAGACATAAATCTGAAACATACCAGAGTTTCTGCTATATCAGTAGCTAGTGATGCTGAATGAACGGTACACTAAAGCCGTCTTCCGCTCTCTAGGGCATTGGATGCAGTGCTGATCAGTTGGCCCAAGAAGTTTAGAAATCTAGGGCCGGGATTCTCAAAGGAACGAATTAGGCAAGCCCGAGTAATGCTGGTCAGCAATTTGTAGCACGTCCTTCAGGAATCTTACATACTTTGCTACCATTTGTGTATTTAGTATTACCGAGCATTAGAAGTTCCTGGTGGACCGAAAGAGTGAAAAAAGACTCCATTCAACATTGCATGCAAGAGATGCAGCAATACAGCAGCTTCTTGAATTGAATGTATATTGGTATCATAGCAAATACCTATACATGTAAAAATCAATGTAAAAATGAGGTGATGTGTGCATTTATGAACACACAGCAGCTTTGTTTTGGAGGCGGCTTTTGTTCCAGGATGTTTAAGAAGAGACAAATTACAACATCATACCAATACAACAATCAATCCAGGGAAATATTTTGCGTGGCGTGGCGGCTCTTCGCATGGCATGCAAGTCGAGCGGCAAAGCGAGCGAGCATGCATGTGTGTTCCGGGCGATTCCTTGGCATTCGACTAGCTTTGTCATGCACTCCCACTAGCCTCCGCTCCGTCGCAGAGCTTCGCGCGCATCGCGACATTTTGCACCGTCCGCGCGCGACAACCTCCGCATCACCCGCACCACACACACACACACACACGGCCACATCAACACGCCGACACCCGCCATTTGCCATCGCCATCACCGAACCATCACTCATCTGATAGCGACGCATCCGCGCAAAGCACCGCAGCCATGGCCAACTACCTCGCCTCCATCTTCGGAACCGAGCAAGACAAGGTCAATTGCTCCTTCTACTACAAAATCGGCGCGTGCCGCCACGGCGACCGCTGCTCGCGAAAACACGTCAAGCCGTCGTACTCGCAGACGATTCTGCTGCCCAACCTGTACCAGAACCCGGCGTACGACCCCAAGAACAAGATGAATGCGCAGCAGATGCAGATGCACTTTGACGCCTTCTACGAGGACATTTGGTGCGAGCTGTGCCAGTACGGCCTTGTCGAGGAGCTGGTAGTATGCGACAACAACAACGACCGTACGTTTCTGCTTCCCCCTTCGCTCTCCCCTTTTTCCAATTTGTGTAGTCGATAAGACAATGTTTTGGCTAACCTGACTTGGCGCCACAGATCTCATCGGCAACGTGTACGTGCGCTTCAAGTACGAAGAGGACGCGCAAAAAGCCTGCGATGCACTCAATAGTCGCTGGTACGCCGGCCGCCCCATATACTGCGAACTCTCGCCCGTGACGGATTTCCGCGAGGCTTGCTGTCGCCTGAATAGCGGCGAGGGCTGTGTGCGCGGCGGCTTCTGCAACTTCATTCATCGCAAGGAGCCCTCGCCTGAGCTTGACAGGGAACTCGACATGTGCACGCGAAAGTGGCTTAAGGAGCGCGGCCGCGATGCCCGTAGTATGAGCAGGAGTCCCACACCGCCGGCTACCAAGAACAGGTTCTAAGTAGGGAAGGGAGATATGGGGGAAAACTTGCTTGCATATATGCCCACGGTTTTATGTTTAGTTCAGACTTGGATGGTACATTTACTAGGCGTTTTTTCTTTCTGGCGTTTTTTTTGGTTGTAGAGGGAAACCATGCTGCCCTCCCCGTTGCAACTTTGTTTTTTTTCTCTCTCTCTCTCTCTTCTGAACACATTAGTATAGTGACGGTTTTGATACCATCAGCGGGCCAAGAAAAATGCAACACTTATGGGGGATTTTCAAATCACGGATGAAAGATATCATGCAGTCTTTGTTGTAGACCAGGACTTTTGGCATAAAAGCAGGCAGAAAGATCAATTTTAACGTTTCAGCCATGTTGCATTTGGATTCTTGTTTGGTGTTTATCTACGTGGATATGTTGAATTGAGAGGGTTCGTCGTTGATACATGGTTGCACATATATATGTATGTATATGTATTCATGCCGAGCCTATATGAAACGCATAGTTCTTCAGAACAGAAAAACATAGAGAGTGATAGAGCAAGAGCGAGAGACAGACAGAGACAGACAGACAGACAGAGAGAGAGAGAGAAAGAAAGAAAGAAAGAGAGAGAGAGAGAGAGAGAGAGAAAATAAGGTATTTATTTGTGGTCATGTTGAAAAGAGAAAAAAAATCAAAATCAAAGACCTGGTATCATGTACGAAAAGGGAACCTGCTCCAAAAAAAAGAGGAGAAGAGAAAAGGGCAAAGGGAAAAAAAGGACATCACTGATGTCGTTCCCCCCATGCCATGCGCAACGACCCGGCGGCGCCGACCCATAGGTAAAGAAGAGAGAGAGAGAGAGAGAGAGAGAGAGAGAAAAGATAAACAAGAAGGAGAATGATGCTGACAATGGGGAAACAGAAGAGAAGAGAAGAGAAGGAAAAAAAAGCGATGACCCGTCCTGGGAATGCGTACATGGAAGAGTGCGGGGGGGAGAAGATGCATAGGCACTTCTTGTTGTGTCGCGCGCGATTGGGATACCCTCCGATATCCTCCTCTTCCTCCTTTTCTTTGTCTTCTTCATCTTTATCTTCGTCAGGGTCCTCATGAATCATGAGGTCATGATCACCCCCAGCACCCAGCGCCCAGCGCTCCTACTACCACCACGACTTGGTCTTTACAGAATCTTCCTCGACTCGCTTCATATAATCTTCCTCGACTTGAGGATCAAAATGGTAGCTACAATACCAGCAACCAGCAACATAAAGACCATCCAAAAAGCCCAGCACAACCACGTGCGATGTCGCTCCTTCTTCTTCTGCCGCACAAGCCACGAGTCCCTGTGGGAGGCGTCAGCCGTGATGGTGGTCACGAATTTGAAGCGGGAGGAGGGGCGGCCCGTCAGCGACAGGGAGAGGGTGGAGATGTTTGGGGCGCGGAAGAAGGGGCGGGAGGGGGAGCTGGGAAACGAGGGGTTGCGGTGCATTTTGGGGGTTATGGGTGGTGGTGGGTGTAGTGGTTTGCATGGTTTGGAGGACGGTGGTGGTGGTGGTGAGTTGGGCCCAAGAGGGCTGGGGCGGAGGAGAGGCGTTGTAGACGAGGATTTGTGCAGGTGTCTTGTGTTTTGTTCTTGGGATGCGGATGTGGGTGTGGGTGCTGCTGGTTGTGCTTTTGTGGCTGTGTCCGGTGCTGCCATGACCGTGTCCGGGAAGATGGGTGACAGCGGGGTGGAAAGCAGCGACAAGCGCAGCAAGGGCAGTTGGCTCATGGGCGAGTACCCAGGCGACGACGGGTGGTTTGTGATGTGTGCAGTGGGTGGTCCGCGAGGCGAGTGTGTAGTGGTAATAGTGGTGGTGGTGGTGAGGGAGGAGAGGGAGGAAGTGCTTGTGACGTACGAGTGCTTGGGACCTTGGGCCGACATGAGCTGCTTCTCCATTTCGTCCTGATGCACGGCTATGCTGAACCGGTTCCAGAAGTGGGGATCGCGTATCATTTTGAGGTATATTTGCCGGGCATGTGAAGTGCGCGCGGGGTTTGTAGGGTTTTGCTTTGTCGAGACGACGACGACGACGACGAGTGCTAGGAGCGGAGCGACAACGCTAATTTGGCGACGTGTGTAGGTCGGGAATGCAGCAGAAGCAAGGAGAGTGGGATCCTCGAGGTTTTGGGTAAAATCTTATTCGGGGTTACGCAGTGGTGAAACCAAGCGTGGCAGTGTAGTGAATGGTTGTTGCCAAGGCGGTCGAGAAGCCAGGCCGACAAAGAGTGGACATGTGTTATTCAACTCGAAACCCGCAAGTAGTATCTGTGGTGCACAAGACAGACATGTGTCTGTGGCGACGCCAGATGGTGGAATGTCGCACTGGAACAGCCGAAATAAGCTGTGGGGAAGTCGCCAGTTAAGAGACCAGGGAGCCTAGGACACCGCCGTGTGAAACAGCGTGAGGGACGGTAGCGACAGCAAGGTTCGGCCAATGTCGATGTAGGGCGGAAGCCGGGAAGAGGAGATGGCGAAGCAGCAGATGCTGGGTGAAGGAAAGTGGCGGCGGTGGTGGTAGTGGTGGTGGTGGTTGTTGTTGTTGTGGAGGTGGTGATGGACGGGCGGAAGCAGAGACAGGACGGGTGTTGGCATGTTTAACAGTGGGCTCAAACAGCAGTGGGTGGATCTTTTGAGTGCATCGGATACAACCACGCGTGGCTAGACTACACCATGTCGTGGATATTGTCGGGCGAGGGGTGCTGGCTCTCGTGCGTTTCGGGCGAGGACGTGGGCCTGGGGAGGCAGCCAATCAGCGGCGCGGGATAGGTTTGGGGATCCCAGGCAGCGAGGAGGAGGACGAACGGCGGGAAGACGCGGGAGATTGCTGGTATAGCCTCTGACATGACAGCAGAGCGAACGTGTATATGAAGGATGCGCTTGTCGCGTGCGCTGCGGCTCTTGGGCCCGGGGCTGAGGCTGTCGAATCTATCTGAGATGTTGCCCAAGTCTGGCCGGTACAGCATCACGTGAAAATGCTCCACTGCGTGCACGCTCTTGAGGCTCTTCCAGTTCTTGAACCAGATGACCTCCTTGACCTGTGGCGCAAACGTCTTGTGCACGTAGTCATGAATCTGCCTCTTGGACGCCTCTGTCGAAAGGCCCGTCTCCGGGTCATCCTCCAGCTCAAACTTTGTCCACACGACAAGGTGGACAATGTCTGCGTCGATGCCGTAAGGCCAGTCGTTGTACAGGATTGTGATGTCCTCTGAAGGCGGTTAGCCACTGGTGGCAGCCAAGCCAACGCAAAATGTCCCGCCGTACTGACCGTCGAATTGGAATGGCTCGCCTTTCGGCTGCATCGTGTCCCACTTTAGCCGCTCGTTGACCATGAAGTTCATGATGCTGCCGTAGTCCTTCTCCAGCCTATGTGTAAAATGCCGGTACCTCCGTAGTTCACTTGGCACGCGATGAAACAGGTCGACGCGGTTCTTGTCTAGCAGGGCCCATCAGCATGCGGGCCATGTGAGCAGCAGGCGTGGAGCAACAATCGTACTGACAATCTCCCGCACCTCGTCCCACGTCAACAGCCTGTACTCGTCATCGGGCGTGCCAATGATGCTCTTATCCTTGTCGCTGCAGTTCTGGAGAAACTCCGGGCACTCATGCGGCCACTGGTCCTGGGGCACATTGACAAGCCAGAACGGCAACGCATCCTGAGCCATGCCTGCTCTACTGTGATGACGGCCGTCGGTCCCAGGATATTATGGTATACGCGAGTACAAATGGCAGCGTGATAGCGCAAGGTTGCAGTGGCAAGGGGGCGAGTTGGTGGTGAAGGGCAAGGGTGCTGAGAGCAAGAGGCCAGGCAGGGCAGACGGTGTGAGCCTCAGGGAAAGTAGGACGATGTTGAGGCGGCCGTCCGTGGGCGGGACCGCGCTCGAGCGTTGTATGGCTGCATGCCCTCCATGCCATGTTTCAACACCGACAAAAAGTCGCGGTGACTCGAAAAGAAACATGGGCATTCCAACGGCATCTGCATGGTGCGACGCTGCTCTCCCTGCACACATGGGCAGCAGGCCGGCGTGGCGGCTGCATGTGGCCGCCGTATTCTCTCTCTCTCTCCCGCTCTGGCGCTGCGCAGCGACCCCGCGTTCCTCAAGCACATCACCAACAACGATGTGCCCATGACGGAGAAATTCGTCGGTGCGTGAACCGGTGTGGGTGTGATTGTGACAGCTACACCTAGGTGTACACCTAGTACGCGTATAGGGGAACATGGCGCCGTCATTTCGTTTGTTCTGGGTATAGACAGGGTTAACCGGGTTGGTGGACAGCAGACATGCAGTATATTACATAGGCGATAATAATCAAACTTGGCACAGTCGCCCACGCCTTGTCGCCGGCGACAGTTGCTGTCCAGAGCACCATGGGCCACGTCGCTACGACTACTTGGTTATCTTGCCCGTCAGACGCTGGCGCACAGACGCCCATCTACTTGCAGATAGGGAGGATTACGGTTGCGGTTGCGGCGACGTCTGGCGAGTTTCTGCTTCTTACACAACCCTTGGACAAGAAACGCCATTCTGTGCTGGCAAGGCATGTAATGGGTTTACGATGGGCCATCGCTTGCAATGACTTGTTTGAGACTAGTTTTGTGTCCGTTTTGGTTGTTTGCGTGGCCGCTGCAAAGCGTTTCTTTGGAGTAAGAATGACTTCAGCAGGCGAGCGTGCTCTTGGCGCAACGTCTGGCCAGTAAGGCGGCGCGGTTGCGTGTTTACTGTGCCGTGTTTGTCATGCGTGGTGGTGGTGGTGGTGGTGGTGCTGCTGCTGCTGCTGCTGGCGCTGTCGCTGGAGCCAGTGCCCCTGAAGATCCGCTGGGGAGGTGAGGGCGGCGGCATGGAGCACGAGCACGAGGGCGAGTGTGGCGCAGCAGTCACGTGCAGCGCCACCCGGTGTGGCTCGGCGGCGCTCCACTGCCGTTGGCTGCACAAAAACCCCCGTCATCGGCGTGGGAAAAAATGCACCGGGTGCCGGGCCCGAGTGGCGCGTACACAATACCCGGAGAAAAACTAACGTGTTTTGCCCCAAGTGTGCTGAGCTGGTCGAGGGCTCTACGCCGCAAAAGAGTATCGGATGGTGCTAGGCGCATATGGCGTGCAGACGAGCCCTGGCTGGGTTGCGGTATGCAAAGCGCGGTGAGCCTGTGTCCGCGCCCTAGCGCTGCCAAAAACTCGCGGAAACGGGGGGGCACGCTCCCTTTCGCAGGGGGCGGCGGGCGGTCGACGTGGGCTCTCGTTCACAATTCCCACTCGACAGTCCGCTGTTCTGCCCGCACGAGCGCCTGCTCTCTCTCTCTCCCTCCTCATTTTTTTTGTTTCCGCTGCGAGGCGCTGCTTGTTTTGTATCTGCGTCGTGTTGCGCCATTTGCGGCACGTCGTCATTGCTCCACCAAAATATACCGAGCCCTCGCGCTTCTTCGACCTACGCTAAAGAGCCCTCGCCGTCGGATCAACGGAGTAGGCACACGACGCCCACGGCACATAATGCTCTGCACCACTGACATGCAATAGCTGCTCTCGCCCTCAGACTTTATTTTGCAATCCGCCCCCAATTCCTCCGTCAGCTCGCATAGCCACCGCATACACGCGTTACTCCATGGTGAACTAGCCGCTCCAACTCGAACCTTCCTCCTCCCCCTCCCCTCTGTAAACCTTCTCACGCAATCAGCTGCAGTGGTAAACGCGCAACATGCTCGGCTACATCACTAGCCGCTGGCAGGCTACCGGCGACCAGAAGAAGACCAGTCCGACCTGGTTCGACCGCCACGTCTCGCCCATCCTGCTCTCCGTCGCCAAAAAGGCATGCACCCACCCCATCCACACCATTGTCACCCTCGCATTCCTCGCCAGCTACTCGTACCTCGGCGTACTCGACAAGGGCCTTCTCGAGAGCGGCGTCGACCAGGTCGCCAGCAATGTCGATTTCCGCACGCTTCTGGTCGGCAGCAAGAGGCTGAGAATCGGCCCAGAGACGTCATGGCAGTGGGAAGCTGAAGACACCAAGGCCACCACCGCCGACAGGGTACAGGTAGGCACCCACTAATGCCCCGCAACCACTTGAGCTGACATGGCAGCCTGCACAGGAACTCGTTCTGGTGACACTCGTCTTCCCCGAGTCCAGCGCCGTCAACTCGGCCCCCTCGCAACAGTTCCTCACCCACAATGTCTCCGCGGAGATTCTTCCCAGCTCGGCCAGCTCCTTCTCCACCCTCTCCCCTGACACCTCGCTTGCATTCTCCATCCCCTACGCAGAGGCTGCCGCCTTTCTCGAGGCCATGAAGGAGATTCCCGCCCCAGAAGATGTCACCCAAGTCGAAGGCTCCGACAAAGGCACACTGGAGGAGAAGAAGTGGATGATGCGCGCCTCCAGGAACGGCAATGCCTCGTCTGGCATCCGCAACTGGGTCGTCGAATCTTGGACGTCGTTTGTTGATTTGCTCAAGGTACGTTGGCTTGCTTTTATGATAGAGAATGCACACGTTGCTAAGTCAGCCCGCAGAACGCAGACACTGGCGATATCGTCATCATGGCCCTGGGCTACCTTGCCATGCACCTGACATTTGTCTCCCTCTTCCTCGCCATGAGGCGACTGGGCTCCAACTTCTGGCTGGCTACCGCGGTTCTGCTGCAGTCTGCCTTTGCCTTTTTGTTTGCTCTCGCCGTCACGACTTACCTTGGCGTTCCCATCAATCTTATCCTTCTCTCTGAAGGACTTCCATTCCTCGTTGTCATCATCGGCTTCGAAAAGCCCATTGTTCTTACCAAGGCTGTCTTGTCTGCCTCTGTGGGCAGCCAACGACCGGTCAAGGAGAAACAAGGAGAGCCAGTAACTATCCAGTCCGCCGTGCAGACAGCCATCAGACAGACTGGCTTCGAAATTGTGCGTGACTACTTCTTCGAGATCCTCATCCTCGTCGCAGGTGCCATGTCTGGCATCCAGGGTGGTCTACGACAGTTCTGCTTCCTGGGCGCCTGGATCCTCTTTTTCGACTCGCTTATGCTCCTGACCTTCTACACGGCGATTCTCACAATCAAGCTCGAGGTCAACCGCATCAAGCGTCACGTGGCTCTTCGCCGGGCTCTCGAAGATGACGGTATCGATGGCAAGGTAGCGGAGAGTGTGGCTCGTAACAGTGAATGGCCGAGTGCCCGCGACGTCCAAGTCGGCAGCACTACCACGACGGTTTTTGGAAAGAAGATTACCGTGCCCAAGTTTAAGATTCTCATGGTCGTCGGCTTTGTCATTGTCAACGTTATCAACGTTGTCACCCTCAAGTTCGGTCTCACGCCCACCAAGGCTGCCCACGTCTCTGGTGTTGGTGCTACGCCTCTCCTGGATCCATTCAAGGTTGCTGGCAGTGGGCTGGACTACATCTATCAGCAGGCAAAGGACACTGCGACATCGACCGTTGTGACCATCCTTACGCCGATCAAGTATGAGCTTGAGTTTCCTTCTATTCACTACGCTGAACCTTCCCTTGCCGACTCAGAGTATGGTTTTGGCAACAACATCAGCACTCACATTGTCGAAGGCGTGCTGAAGAGTCTGGAAGACCCGTTCCTGAGCAAGTGGATTGTGCTCGCGCTCATCATGAGTGTAGTCCTAAATGGTTACCTCTTCAATGCTGCCCGATTGACAATCAAAGAGCCCCACAAGCCCCTTGAGCCTCCCGCTCCGTCCGAAGTTCAAGATGGTCTTCCTACTATACCAAATACCCCTCAGATCCCAACCGCGAACATGCCTACCCCGCCTCGCACTCCTGGCCCAGAGGACCAAACCGGTCGTCTGCAACCGCTTACCCAAGTTCAGCCAAAGCCCCAACCTGAGATACCAGCAGGCCCATCGGAAGAGCAGCAACGCCAGCCCAATCGCCCCTATGAAATCCTCGAGCAAATGATCAAAGACAAGCAGGCACCCAAGATGACTGACGAGGAGCTTATCGAGATGTCGCTGAGAGGAAAGATTCCAGGTTACGCTCTTGAGAAGACGCTTGGTGACAAGACCCGCGCTGTCAAGATTCGTCGTGGTCTCGTCTCTCGAACACATGCCACCCGCGAAACTTCAACTCTGCTGGAAAGCTCGCTTCTGCCCTACAAGGACTACAACTATGATCTCGTCCATGGTGCGTGCTGTGAAAACGTCGTTGGCTACCTTCCCCTTCCCCTCGGTGTTGCTGGTCCCATCTTGGTCGATGGCCAGAACTACTTCCTTCCCATGGCTACCACTGAAGGTGTGCTTGTCGCCTCGACCTCGCGCGGTGCCAAGGCCATCAACGCTGGCGGCGGTGCTGTGACTGTGGTTACTGGTGATGGCATGACCCGTGGACCCTGCATTGGATTCGACAGCCTCATCCGCGCTGGTGCTGCCAAGATCTGGCTCGACTCAGAAGAAGGTCAGAGGATCATGAAGAATGCTTTCAATTCGACATCTCGCTTCGCCAGGCTGCAATCAATGAAGTCTGCAATTGCCGGTACCAACATCTACGTTCGTTTCAGAGCCACGACTGGCGACGCAATGGGGATGAACATGATTTCCAAGGGTGTTGAGCATGCTCTTAACGTCATGGCAAACGACTGTGGCTTTGACGACATGCGTGTGGTGTCTGTTTCTGGAAACTACTGTACCGACAAGAAGTCTGCTGCCATTAACTGGATTGACGGCCGTGGTAAGGGCGTGGTTGCCGAGGCCATGATCCCTGGCTCCGTTGTCCGGTCTGTGCTCAAGTGCGAAGTGGACGACCTGGTTCAAATGAACATTTCCAAGAACTTGATCGGATCCGCCATGGCTGGTGCCTTGGGTGGATTCAACGCCCACGCAGCCAACATTGTCGCCGCCATCTTCTTGGCTACAGGCCAGGATCCAGCCCAGGTTGTTGAGAGTGCCAACTGCATTACCATTATGCACAAGTAAGTTGATCTCTATTCGACAATCATCAAGTGCACAAACGCTAACGTCGTGACAGCATCAACGGTAACCTGCAAATCTCTGTTTCGATGCCTTCGATAGAAGTTGGTACCATTGGCGGTGGAACCATTCTCGAGCCCCAGTCAGCCATGCTTGACCTGCTCGGCGTACGAGGTGCCCACCAAACGTCGCCTGGTGACAATGCCCGCCAGCTCGCCCGTATCATTGCCGCCGGTGTTCTTGCCGGAGAGCTGTCGCTCAACAGTGCGCTGTGCGCCGGTCACCTGGTCAAGGCGCACATGGCACACAACAGGAGTAACGTTCCTTCGCGCGCCCCAACGCCTGCGCCCGCCACGCCAAGCAACGGCACCATGACACCGGTGACAGGCGGCAGCGGCATCCTGAACGCCCTGAGTTCAACTGGAGGACCTGCGCCTCGACGATAAGGAAACAAGAAAAGCAAGTTCCTCGCCATGATTGGGGGAGGGAGGCCATGGGGAAAAGGAGAGAGAAGTGGGTGGGCGTAAATAGGCTAAATGGGAATTCATGGATGAAGCATGCATGGATGAAGGATGGGTGGATGGATGGAGGCGAGGTACCACCACGTCAAAGATGCGTGGCCTACTAATGACTGTTATACCCTTGTCTCGCATCTGATGAATGCAAGGGAACGAAGCGAAGAAAAGGGAGGAGAGGAGAGAGAAACACCCCCCCCCCGTTGTAACCTTTGTCTTCTTCTTCTTCTTCTTCTTCTTCTACTCCTGAACGTCATGTCTCACGCACATATACATATATATATATATATATATCTTTACTACAGTATATTAATCTCCAAATTCAAATAATTCAACAAACACTTGCTGTCCACACCACCCACGCATTGCACTGCACTGCACTGCACTGTCGGTCATGTTGCTTGTTTTCTGATTATATCCATTGATGCTATCTAGGCGACATGCTGGCGACTAAATCGCATGTCTTACACACGTTACACACATACACATGGTATTGCCTGGGCTCCTCCCACGCCCACAAACAAGAGTGCACTCAAAGGCGCAGTGTCCTCCTTTCGCATCGAAAAGGACAGTGACCATCAAATATGCTATGAGAGGAGAACCAAAAAAAAGCCGAATCCGTGGCAACATAACCAAGAGAGAAATCAGTAAAGGAAAAAACAAAACCATGAAGAAAATGAGTGATGAAACAAAGCAAGGGCGGAAAAAGACATCAAGGCCATGCCATCTCCATCCCAAGGGCGCGACTCTCACCAATCTTTGGCAAGCGACGATGATGGTCATGTGCCACCAACAGAAATGTTGTTTCGCAGACCACTCGGTGCAGGGCCCTTCTTGGCTCGGCGACCCAGTATACTCGAGCTGTCCAGGTTGAGTTCAAATGCGCCCTTGTTCTTGACCTGACGCTTGGCAGCGGCAGCGACAGCGGCAGAATGCTGACCATAGCCCCGTTGCTGCGGTGCGGCTTGTTGCTGACGTGCTTGAGCTGCGGCAGATAGCGTCGTGTTGCGCATCTTCTGTTCCATACTAGATACATCTGCGCCCTGCGACTTGGGAAGCTTGGCTGGCGGATGCTGTGTTGAGGCATCATACGGCACAGACTCGGCAGCATACTCATCATCGTCTTCGTTCTCGTCAAGCGCATTCAGAGAGTTCATGGCATTCGCGCCACGGTATCCTTGCTTGAATTGCTTCTTCCTCTTTCCCTCTTCTTCTTGTCGGTGCACAGCATAGCTGACATCGAATACTTCTCGAAGGTTGACAGCGCCAGGCGAACGGAAGTCCATGCGACGTGCACCTGGAGACTCGAGATGTGTAAAGTCTGGCTGGAGGCGCTCCTTCTTGGCAGCCGGTGTGGCAAGAGGTGGTGCGTCATAGGCAGAGTACGTTGGCTCGTCAGCCTCGCGTATCCATGGGTGGTTGAGGAACTGGTTGATGTCGTAACGCTTTTCAGGGTCTACTGTCAGGAGATGGGACACCAGGTCTTGAGCAGACTTGGAAATGTCGTCCCACCATGGGGAAAGGAAAGTGTACTGGCCACGTGCGACCTTCTCGGTAAGAGTCTGGATTGACTCGTCATAGAAGGGTGGGAAACCACAGAGCAGCGTGTAGAGCACACAGCCTAGTGCCCACATGTCGACACTCTTGGAGTAGCGCTCGTCCTTGACAATTTCTGGGGCAGTGTAGCCGACGGTACCGCAAGGCGTCATGGTTTGAGTGTCCCAGATAACCTTGCTGAGACCGAAGTCGGCAACCTTGATGAGGCCGATGCCACCGGCACCCTTGCCCTTGATGAATTCACCTTCGTCGGCCTTGTCCTCGTCATCCGGACCCCTTGGTTTGGGGTTGCGTGTGGGAACAAATGGAATCGGGTAGAACAAAAGGTTCTCAGGCTTGATGTCTCTGTATGATGACGTCAGCAGATAGTCTAAAACCACAATCGAGTCGTCTACAGACCGATGGACAACACCTGCTTCCTCGTGCAAGTATTGCAGAGCCTTTGCGACTTGGATGATGGTGTGGCGCGAAAGATCCTCGGAAAAGTAGGTGAGGCGAACAATTTGGTGGAACAGTTCACCGCCAGGGCACAGCTCGAGGACAATGTAGTAGTACTGCCGTGACTCGGAGAAGTCGATGAGCTTGACAATGTTGGGGTGGTCGAGCTGGCGCATGATTTGTACTTCCTTGAGAATGTTTGCTCTCTACAAGGGCAGTTAGTGTCTGCCCATCGAATTGCATTCGTGATGAGGTGTGGGGGGATGCTGCATAAGTCGAGCATCATGGGGTTAAATGTTTCGCACCTCGGCTGCTTTTGGCGCTTTGAAGTCCGGATGTATATGCTTGTCCTACACCGGCCTCGCGTTGGTAACGTCCAAAAAACACCCGACATGCTCGTGCGTGATGTGATGTGGTGAGGGGGAGATGACGACATGATGAAATGGGCAAAAGGGAGGGGAGAGGGCAAAGGGGGGAGAGAGTGGGTAGGGACTGACCTGCTGTGAGTTCATCTCGAACTTACGAACGACCTTGATGGCGACTTCGTCCCATTGGCCTGTGGTGTCTCGTGCGCGGTATACGTTACTGAAGGCACCATCACCCATCTTCTCCAGCAGGGTCCAGCGCTCTAGGCCGGGGTATCTGGGCAGCTTGCCCTTGGCCTCGCGCTCCTCGGCAACAATGCGCTCGAGCACAGAGGGGTCGACGCCAGCGTTCTTTGCTGCAGCCTGCTTCTTTTGGTGGTCGCCAGCGGCGCGCGCAGCAGCATCACCTGCCTGTGCGGCAATGTTGCGGTTGTCGCCCGCGCCGGCGCCGACAGAGAAGTCACCGTGGGGGACGGCATTGTTCTGGAGCGGCTTGTGGTCCAGGGCAGGCTCGGTGACGCCGTGAGGGAGCGGCTCGGGCGCCTGGCCGTAGCGTTGTTGTTGCGACTGGGCGTGGACATTAGATACGTTTGTCGTGGGCTCAGCATTGTGGCGGGCCTGCTTGCCATGGCGCAGGAAGTTCTTAAAATTCTGTATGGCGGCCATGCTTAGTCTTTCTGTGCGGGGTGGAGAGCGATGAGGAAATCACGAAGCGGGCGTTGATGGCGGGGTCGTTTTGGGCTGGGAGACGGATGGTGAACAGGCACAGGCAGAATAGGGCCGAGTGCAGGCGAGTGTAGCAGCAAGAGCAGAAGGCGGACGAGGAGGAGAAAGTGAAGGCAGAGGGATGCAGCGGGAGGAAAAGGGAAAAGGCGGCGGCGGGCAAGCTCGTGGGTGAAAAGAAGGGCATGGGATTGCATGGGTGGATGAAGGCAGGCGTGAGGCGTGAGCAGGCGAGGAGCGAACATGCGTCATAACACGTCCGTGCGCCAGATGACGATGCGGGCTACATCATCGCCAAACAAGCTGCACCACGACGCTTGGGGCCATGGGCGGCCTTGGGTTGAGCGGGTGGCGCCTGCCTCTTGTCCTGGCGGCTGCACCAGTGCAAATGCAATGCCCCCCGTCGCCGCCCGCAAAGAAAGAGAATGCGCTCACCTCGATGACGGGATGCCCCATCTTCTTGCGCCCGCTCCGGGGAGAGGAGCTTGGGGACTGCATGTGTTCGGTGCGCGGGGCCAGGGCGGGATCGCGATGGATGTGTGTGTGTGTGTGTATTTGCTGCTGGTACACGGCTGCGGCCTTGGTGCTTCGGCAATGCGCTCGCGGGGCCTATGACCGTGGGTGGAGGTAGTATGACGCTGGTATATGGGGATTTCTGCGTTGCCGCGTCCAAGATGTCGCAGGCACAGGCTGCTTCCGCTAATAGTGCAGGGCAAGGGTTGGCCGCCGGGGTGTGTGATGTGCGTGTGCGTGTGTGTGTGTGTGTGTGTGTGTGTGCGTGCGCCTGTGTGCTTGCTGTGGCCTGACGTGCGATGCGGTAGGGCAGGAATGGGTTAGAGGTGGGTGATGAGCGGTTGTCGTGGCTCTCTCTGGCGCGGGGTGGCTCAAGGTTTCGGCAAACTGCACTTGGACACGCCAGGCGAGAGCAGTCGGAGGGCCAGGCGGCGGCGGCAGTGGTGGTGGTGGTGGTGGTGGCGGCGGTGGTTGTCTTGTGAAAGAGGGCGAAAGCGACGGATGGCCAGCACTAAATGTATGCCATGTTATCGTGGGAAGAGGGTCTCGTGTAATTTGTTCTGCCAGGCCACGCTACCTGGGCGCAGATGCTCTTGAGCAATAGTGGACACGCCGCGGAATCGCCGGCAGCTCTCGTCCCAGTTGCAGGTATTCCCGCAAAGCTGCGGGCCCATCTAGAGGCTCGCAGCGCTCGCTAGCCATGGAGCGGCCTACGCCACACTGCATGATACACCCATACAGACTGCTGCTGCGGCCTTGGAAGACGACGACAATGACAACGACGACACGCAACGTCCCGGCCCATGGTCCCCCCCCCCGCCAACGCCCAGCCCTGGATACATACGTACCGTATGGACACGCTTGCACTAGACACAGCCAAGGCACTGCAGTCACAGCCGCAATCTCCCAAAGCCTGAAGCCAAAGCGGCGAGCTCGCACTCGAGGCATTCGTCGCAACCCAACGGCAGCGCATCTGCAGGGTCCAGCTAGCGCGGCGGATCCCTTACGTCATCGTCTAGTGGGAACCGCCTCTCGCTGCTCAAGATGTCAATCTTTGCCCTCCCCACTCGCCCTCTGAAACACTTTTGACGCCTGTGGCGTCCGTGGACACGACATGTATCTCTGTTGCACGCTGCAGACGAGCGCGAGCACCCGGCAGGCCCAGGAAACCTAGCAACATACGGCATAGCTGCCGGCCCGCCACAGCAAACCTGCTCTCGCCTCGCTGCTCACGCGCATAAGCTTTCGGTCCGACGCCCAATGCAGCGCGCAGCGGCGGGGGAGCTCCAGTCAGCACCACGTGCACGGGCTCCCTAAGCATCAATAATACCCTGTGGATTGCCTTTGTGCCCATCTGGTCGCTAGGGTCCCATACTCCAGCCCAGCCCAGCACGCCTAGCACGCCGATAGCCGTGGCCGGGGCAGGGGGACGACCGCCGAAACAAATGCCTCCAGCCCAGCCATCCATGCAACGGCAGCACGTGCAACAACAACAACAACACCAACACCAACACTACAGCGCTTCGCATCGCTCGCACCCGCAGTCAAACCCCCACGTCTTCTTCAGCCGAAGCATCCTCTTGCCCCGACTCAACTTCCTCTCCTCCCCACTCAGATACGTGATGCACAGCTCCTGCCCCTTCTCAATGTCCCGCCCAGCCCTAAAGTACCATGTGCGACCCTCACGCTTCTTCTCAATATTCGGCCCGCACGAGTGGTTGAAGTAGCTCGCAGCTGGCCAGCACCCGTAGCCGAAGAACTCCGAGCCTTCGTCCTCGAGAGAGCGGATCCCAAACGAGTTGTGCGAATCGCGCTGCGAGAGCGTCAAAAGAGTCTCTGGCGTCAAGAGCGGGAGAAGCTCCAACGGCAGTATCGCAAGCAGATGCAGGTAGGTCCGTGTGAAAGCATCCAGATCGTCCGAGCTGTGGTACGGCGTCTTGTCATTGGCGAGGGCCTGCAGCCGCTCCCACTGCTCGGCATGGATATATCGCCATACGATGCCGCTCACACAGAAGCTCATCACGTCGGGAGCAATGCGCCCCTGCAGTGCCTTTGAGACGGCTTTTTTATCCTGCTTCGTCATAGACACCGCAGGCCTATCCCCCGCAGCGTCTGCCCGTTCCGCTTCCCTTGCCGCCCGGATCCGCGCCGCCTGCACCTCCACCTTTTCCCAAGCTTTGATGATGTCCTTTTTCTTGGGTCGCGGCAGGTCAGCATCGACCATGTCACTGTCCTCTTTGCTCCTCTTCCGGACAAGATCCTCGACGGCGGCCCAAGCTTGAACACCAACCTCTCCCTGCTCTTGCTGCCACTTGTCCTGGCATGCCCTGGAACAAAAGGCAAACCCCACCGTCTTGTCTCGGATGCTCAGATCCCGCCCGTAGTCGTACCCAAAGCACTGCCCACACACCTCGCGTCTGTACTCGCGCAGTAGTACAGACAGCGTAAGGTCATCCGACTGCCATACAAGCGTGCCTTCGGGGATATCCTGTGTGGCGAAAACGGCGCGGCCGGCCTTCGGTGTGTGGCGTACCTGGAACAGGTGGGATTCGGGCGCGCCTGCTGGGACGTCTTTGGGCGTATCGGCTGGATGGATCGACGAGGCGGACGAGGGTCGTGAGACGCTGAAGACCGAGTCACTGGCTACGGGAACAGACGAGTCGCTTTCAGTAATATCCATCGTAGCGGTGTCGACGCGATTAGCAGCACAGATAAGCAGACGTTGGAGTAAGCGGTTCGGGATTCTCTTCACGAGCCGAGTGGCAACTGTACTCGGCGGAGTATGCAATGCGGCGAGCGGTGCCCCTCAATGTCTTATCAAGGGGGAAATATACGGAAACAAATGGTCGCACGGGCTGGAGGTCAGTTGCGTATGTCACGTATACTCATGCTGGCGGCGGCTGAGAGGAAAAAGGACATTGTGGGTATACTTGGGTACGGGTCTGGTGTGGGTACTTTGGATGAGGCGGGCTCTACAAGAGGAAAGATTTTGGGAAGGCGAAGTGGCCGTAGTGTCTAGATTCTGGTGATCAGCGCACGGTCCACTATTTAAAGATAGGCGAAGACCCTGATTGCACATGCATCTGGCGCCACAGATCTGGGCCGCCGTGACAATCGCGCCGACACGGCCCTGCTGCGACCAGCGAAAGCATTTCTCCATTCGTTAGCATGCGCGGCGACAGCGACACCCACGGGCGCCATAGAACAAGACACCATCGACGCCGCGCTTCAGCTTGTCCACCAGTTGCCCGGCCTTTCCCATGTCTTCCGTCAAGCGTGTAGCCCTCCTCACGATCATGGCATCGTTACCGCAGGCAGCAGGTCCGACCAAGAGCATTACCGAGCCTGGCTAACATCAAAACAAGCACACATCTAACAATGCGCGTCGCGCCATGTTAATCCCGTCTACATGCACAGCGGCAGGCCAGGCAGCACCTCCAAAGCTAGGCCTAATTCGGACAGTTGCCTGAATGCTCGCCCAAGGGGCATACACCGGCTCAAGCGATATAAAATGGACAAGATGTCAACACACCAGCACAGCATCTCAGCCATCTCCACTCAGTTTCAATTGACGCAATCGCTTGACCAACGCAAATTTTAGCTTACATTCGTTATGGCGCCAGTCACAAGTCCGCTGCGCATCACGAATCTTGAGGATGGAGAGACCATTCATCAGCTATGTCGTCCATCATTCCCGTGGTGGATTCAGACTGATCAATCCAACAGCGCTGCCTCCTCGTTACTGGAGCATACGCTTTCGATGCTGCCGAAGGGAGCTACATTCACGTCGTTACCAAGGGAGCAAACAAAGCCGAAGTCTTTCCAGAGCAGACATGGCCCCTAGCAGGAGGTCATTTCAAAGCCCTCGTCATGCTCTCTCCAGGACTAACCATTCTCGAATTCGCCTATGTCTGCAATGACTGCATTGAACACACAGTCGAAATCAGCGTCAACCACTGGCCACTCCTGCAGTACCCGCCTCTTCATCTCGCAATCATGGTCGCTTCTGATTCGCCATGTCTCATCGACTGCCCGCCCAGCAAAGCCGCCGGCGTGTCTTGTGCACATGCCGACCTCGATGCTGCCATTGCCAAGCTTCGCATGACGGCGTACATGTGGCAAGCCATGACTGCTGAGGATTTGCGGCTGCACGGACTCGGACGACGCTCATTCAGATTCGACGAGGAGTGGACTGCCGATACTGTCAGTCGCGAATTCACCAATGCGCGGATTGAACAAACTGTGGCTCAGGATGGCGCTATGCGGTCTACGGCAAAGGTTCACGTGATCCGCTCGTCCAAGACTGTTCGCGAGATCCGCGATGAGAAGATTGCGCAGCAGAATCCTAGGGCGTATGGCACCGACAGCCTGTTCGACTACTTCAAGGATGCACTGAAAGAGGCTGGGGGACCGTTTTCGTCCGACGCTCAGCCAATTGTTGCTGGTCTTATCCTGGACTCTCATTACAACGCTTCAAAGGATCTTATTGTCGGCCATGCCGCGCTGGGTGCCCACGACCCGCATGGCTTATCACTCGGCATGTTTGGTAGCCACTTGACGTATTCGTGGCCGCGGTTCCTAGAAGAGGTCACCAGCTGCTTGACCGACACACGCAAACCTGGCGACAAAGTCGGCAACGACAACGGCGAATGCACCACCATGTGGGAAGCATGTGCGATTGGCCAAGGAGCCCATATCCACGAGGTTGGCCATGCCTTTGGCTCACCGCACCGTCCAGGCATCATGGAACGAGGCTACGCGCAAGACTGGTCCAAGAACTTCCTTTCGAAAACCGCCTTCTCGGGCCATCTCAGACGTGAGGGCGTGCTTGTGGATCCTGCCACTACGTCCAACAAGGCCCGCTGGAACCTAGCGGACGCACTCTCCTTCCGCATGCTACCTCATTTCCGCCTCCCCACCGATGCCGTCCCCAGCGACTCGGAGAAGAAAGCAAGGCCCGACGTTCAAGCCGTGCAGGAAAACGAAGAAAGCCCCATGACGCTCCAAATCACCTCACCCAGCGGCATCGCCCGCGTAACCTTCAACCTCACCGAGCACACGCAGCCCCCCAACTGGCTCGACGCCGCCCCACGCACCATGGACTTCAGCGAGACAGAACTCGAGCAGCGCTTCGACCGCACCCAGCCGCTTTCCCTCTCCATCCTGGGGCTAAACGGGCGCGAACGCCACATCCAGGATGCGTGGAAACTAGTCCGCAGCCGGTCTCTAATCCGGATCCCAGGCTCTGATATGCGTCTGCGCAAGCAGCTCGTATTTTCGTCCGACGACGACGCGGAGCACGCGGGCCAAAACGCGGCGTACACGTGGGCGCAGCTGCTGGTGGAAAGGGGGGCGGACGGGCGTCTGCACCGCGCGGTGTCGATTGAGCTGCGGGTAGGCTGTTTGTGGGACGGCGGCGTCGTCAGGTACGGCGACGGCCACGTTTCGCACTGGGGCCCCATGCGGCGGCACGGCCGGAAACACCGGTTCGGCGGGCATGCGTCGCAGACGCTGCGGCTTCCCCGCGGCGAGCGCATTGCAGCCGTCGAGGTCAAGCCGTGCGATGGCGTGCGCGTCTACCTGGCCAACGGCGCGGCGGCCGGCGAACTCAATGCGTATGCGCCTGAGGACGACGGTGAGATTGTGAGGGTGGAGCCGCGCCCCAACGAGCAGATTGTGGGGTTTTTCTTGGTAGGAATAGGCGCAACGATGGGTTCTGCGGTGTGTGTGAGTTTGGCGTCATTTGTATGTCTGCTGAGGTCGACTTGGAGGCGTTGCCGGATGCGGTGTGGGATATGGCGGAGTTGAAGAATACGGCGGGGATGGAGGATGAAGAGGACGACGACGATGAGGAGGGGGAGGAGGAGGAGGATTGTCATGGAGACGAGGAAGAGGAGCATGAGGATATGGATGACGAGTAATTTCATACTCATCCTTTTTCCATTGTTACTACATAGTAATACCAACCGACCCACACCAACTTCGAGTTTTCTGGAAACCGCTAGGAAAGCACGCTATCTAGGAGAA